CCCTGATTTTACGCGTAGTTTAAATAATGAAACTTTGTGACACATCCAATAATTTGTTGTAACAGTTTACGAAGAGCTTTTAGAGATAAAGTTATTAGGTTGGGACTAGGCTTTACTTTGTTAATGGAAAGACGACCTAAAATTGTAAAATGTTAAGATTGAATTTTCCTCTCTATATTGGACAATTGGGTTTATTGGTTTTATGTAACTTTGGAAGAGGGCTAGGTTTTTCTTATCACTATCTATTCCTTACGATTTATCGTTCGTATGGTTTACGATACGACTGACATATTGTTATCTTAATTGAAAATAGGTAGCTATTTTTTAATATATTGCTTTTAGGAGATCTTTGCTTCACTGCAATTGCCTTAATAGATTGTTAAAAATTCCATCCTAAAAGACTTTTAATTACTTTTATAAGTTATAAAATAAAAGTTGACTTTTAATTATTTTCGAAATCATGTTTTTAGCCAATAAATAATTAGTATTCTAACTTGAATTATATTAATAACATCTGTTTTAATTTTTCTTTCTACCACAATCAAATATTACCTTTTCACTCTTAAGGTAAAGGCACCTAATTCCGCGCTGTTTTTAACATAACACGAAAGAACATTATAAATTAAGTATTTATCGGACCTTTGTGTACAATTTTATATTTTTATCAGAAGTGTTAGCTATCAAATTTTTGAAAAATTATTGCAGTTTGTCAGTAGAAGGTTATTGAAGCTGATAAAATAAATAAAAATATAAAAAAGTCCGAGGTACCTTATTCCGATTTAAAAAATCGTAATTCCGATGCATTTGGTTCCTAATTCCGAGTATAAAAATAGAAAGGGAACTATGTAGGGAGAATTATACATGATGTTTAAAAGTCAAATCTGTTTATTTTTTATATTACTTAAATCAATTCTGTTTTTGTTTATTCTAGTTTTATTCTAAACCCTGTTTTTTATTAATATTATTCCTTAATCTTATAAAAATATAAAAATGAATTAACAATATCAAACACACACTCCAATTTTATGTATTTGTATAGATGATTAGTATTCTTTCAGTTACTAAACCGCGTATCTACTAAGCACATAAAATAATGAACACTCTGTATTTAAACAGGGTCTTAACTAACTTCGGAATTAGGTTCTCATGTAATCTTATTCCGACGTAAATACATCGGAATTAGGTACTCATGTAACTTTATTCCGACGTAAATACATCGGAATAGCGTTTTATGATGCTAAATCAAAGTTTCTAATTCCGAGTACTAAAAAGTAAAAGATTTTTTAATATTATGCAAATAAAATAATGTATAGTTACAATATGAAAGGAAAACAAATATAAAGTACATACATATAATAACAGAACACTTATAAAACCTAATGTCTTCACTAAAATCTTCTATACAACGTATTAATAAAGTACCTGTACAAACAATTTTTGACCTGCTATAATTAGTAAATGCGACGCCACGGTGTACCTCGGAAATAGATTATTAAATGTATGAGTTATTCATTAAGTCAGAACTAACACATTAAAGTTTATAATCATAAAACAGACACCGAAATTTAAAAAAAACTAAATGTCTTTAAATTTGTTTTTCCGTGGTATACATCGGCTTTTAGGAACACACTAAAATATTTTGCACCTAATGCCGCGGTATTTTAAACACTTATTTTCTTGCTAATTTGCAAATAAAATACTCAAATCTTAAGTGTTTTCGATAAAAAATATTATCCTTTCAATATTTCAACCTAAACGAAAACTCGCGTTGTATAAAATTATTACGTAAAACACTATTTGGCAAATCGTAATACTCACGTGCATAAGGTCCCAAATGTATGAAGTGTGCTTTCGACGCCGCTCCCCGCGGCAAAATGACCGATTATTTTACAGTGTGACCATACTAAACTCTCCTTTGTATAAATAAATATGAACAGATAATTATTAATTCATTATTTTATCATGCAGACCATAAATAACTAGTAAATTGCTTTAAAAAACTGTTTTTCTAAATACATCGGAATATGGTGCCATTTTTAGAACCCCTCGGAATAAGGTGCATTTACCTTAAATAACTTAAGACCTAACTTAAGTGTTCCGTGATACAAACACTTTACCTCTAGAATAAGCAACAAACTTGCATGCATATTGCATACCACGTCACATGCTACCGAAATTCTTTGCATTATATTCATGTTCGAGTTTCAAATCTGACATTTTGTTTTTTTAAAGGCCAGTACTTTTATTTGATGTGCCAGTAATTGTTAGTGTCGTGTGGAGCTGTGTCACTGGCCAGCCAGCGTGTTTCATGGGGAAATGTAATCAATATGATACAATCTGTCAGTATGTTAACGTTCTGTGTTACCTTTTTATTTTTTTATTTGTTTAAATGTTTTTAAAATATGATTGCCACTCGACACTGGCAGTATAGTCGACAAGATCGTTTCGGAGACTCGTTTGCCAAAGAAGCGAAAAAAAATATGATTGAGTTTGTATATTTTAGAATAACAAGGGGCTAGAATTACAATCGGTGTTTAGCAATCGGGTCACTTATGAAATTAATTAGTTAAATATTAATAAGTAGTTGACAAAATTGAATATGTTGTACAATGAATGAATAATTGTGATGTTAAACCCCGTATTTATCATCTCTTGTTAAGTTTCAATTATTCTTAATAGCAGACAATTTAATTTAGTATCAGTTAAGTTTACATAAACAAACATAAATATGTAATAAATAGTATGGTAGTAATAAATGCTCTCAAACTATATTTAAAGTTGTTACATAATAACTTTTCTAATGACTACGAGTATACTAAGACTCATAATATCTTATTCACCAAGAAACGATAAAACAGTTCAACCTTCTCATTAGCGATATGTCGAGGCGCACAATTTGTCAAAGGAAACGTGCTTTCGTATTTTGTAATCGTACTTGAGTTTATTTTATCGCAATCGTTCGTATCACAACATTGTACATAAGTCTTGAAGAAGTAGACTTGACATTAGGACATTTTTCTCATCCCTTAGTTACGTTTTACGTATGTACTTATTGATTTGTTTTGGGTGTAGTGTTTCTTTCAATAGGCTCATTCCCTATTACATGGGACTGATAACATGAATAGTGAAAAGTGGGTGTTACATTGTACAGTGGCAATCAGTGCTGTCATGTGCACCTCTGCCTACCCCTTCGGAGATAAAAGGCGTGATGTCATGTTATGTTTCATCAAATTATTTTAATAGTAAGCCAGGATGACCCTTGTCATACGTTAAAGGAAAACATCGTAAGGAAATCTGGGCTTATAATTTCTAATTATAAGTTTGAAATCACCAACCCGCATTGAGCAAGCGTGGCGACTAATGCTCAAACCTTCTCCATGTGAGAAGTGGCCATTGGTTAGCAGATGCCACTTACAGGCTGTTAATGATGAAGATGAAGATAGGATGAATGAGTTTTTAAACTAACATGCCATGTTATAAAAAGTTAATAAACTGTGAATATTTTGATAATTTTTGCTTGTCTTTCGTAATTGGCGAAGGACAGAGTTTTTACTTAATGGCTACGTCATAAACAGGTGTACCGGAGTAATATATTCTTCAGAACCTAGTAATTTTTTAATAGTTATGTCATAAATAATGATTTCAAACTAAACAACTAACTGTATTGAGTCATAAAAGTAAGTGTTGTTCGTTCGTTCGAAACATAAAAATTTAAAAGTACATGCGACTACTGGAGTGTTTGTCTATAGACTTATACAGGCTGCTTCGATTCTCGATAGTTGCAACGATTTCGTGTGCAAACAGTGAAATACAATGTGAAAGTTCTTTTACAATGACTTGGAAACTTTAAAGGGGATTTCTGACTGCTATATGAGTTAGAAGGCTGTTTAGAAACTCTATCGTTTTTGTTTTTACGTGAAATGTTTTTGGTTTCGTGAATTCCATATTGATGTGGTTTCTGTACCTTGGATTCTTGAATTGTGTAACTGTCTGTAGGCAGCAATGTGCTTAAAGCCATTGGTACTGCGGATCTCGTGTTAAAATAGGTATCATTGAGGCTTTTAAGACTCCAGGTTAAATAATAATTAACCTATAATTAATAAAAATAGATTATAATAGATTATATTGTTTCGTTAGTGTCGTAACAAGCGTTGAATTGTGGGCGCTCCGGAGCAGGTCTCGTTTAGAGGACCCGGTGCCCCCATACTGGTGTTGAGGGGGCCACCGGGGTGGTTTTAGTGAGGTAAAAATCCCACACAGTTTTTAATCCCCAAAAAGCTAGGTGCCTTTTGAAGGTTTCCACCCGTTATTAAAAAAGGCATAACATACGTCATACGTAAATATTTAAAAATGTTTCTTACTCTGACTGTTATAATAATGATTTTAATTAAAGCCTTTTACGATTATAATGGGGTTAAATTAGCCATTAGTAGTTCCTATATTTTCCATATGATCTTGAAGACAATGACCGACAGCCCTATCTTTATACAAACTAGGATTATCAACCGTATTACGTCAATAAGGTGATAGTTCCTTGTTATTTTTCAGTTGTTAAAGGTTGACACAATTTCCTTGGCTTTTTATAAATGACACCCCTATTAACGGCCGACGGCGCGCGGTGTCAATGCATGCGTTAGTTCAATGGCTCGTTTGAATATAAACAAAATCGTTGCTTAAATTAACTGGTCTGAATTTTTTTTTAAGATTTATAGCAATTTTTCAGATAGGTTATAATGAGACAAGTAACTAGAACGTAGTTAGGAATATGTTGAACTATTCTTTGCGGCCAACAAAATTTATATACGGCTCTATATTTTTATAAAAAATTAAAGTTTGGTTAATGTGTATATTTTTTTTTATTTCATGATTATATAATTACATTTTTTTTATTCCAAAAATCGTTAAAATTGAAATATAGTTTTAATCTCACAGTTCATCACAACAATCGGCATTCTGACTTCCAAAAAACCTGAAAAAAAAACAAAAAAATATCAACTGACCTGCGTTCTTGTTGTCGCGCGCCATGGCGTCGGGTAGCGCGAGCAGTTCGCGCGCTTGTCCGCGGTAATGTGCGGGCGTGCGGCCGGCCGCGTCTCGCGCCCCTTGCGCCGCCCCCGCGCCCTCCAGCAGCGCGGCCAGCGAAGCAGAGTCCCGGCTTACCGCCGAGTAGTGTAAAGGCGTACGACCTTCCTGTGACAATGTATGACGTAGCCCGACTAGGAGCGGCTCTAGACTGAGATTGTGAAATTGTCATATTACCTACGACACGCTATTCTTATAACAGGACTAATGGCATGGTCGGTTTTTTTACTTATCCTTAAGAATAATACGAAGAATATTCATAAAGAAACATTAGAATAGAAGCCTAATATGAAGGTCATTGAAATTAGGAAAACATTTTGCAATTTTAAGATAATAACAGCTTTCCTTGTTTCAGTAAATTAGGGTAACTTGTAGCGTCTAAATAACACGACAGAAATATACTTTCAAAGTTACACTAGCACTAAAAACTTAAAAACTACTACTAAGTTTAACAAACTACTTACCGAATCCTTCTGATGCACCAGCTGCGGGTAATTCTTAACGAGATACTCGGCGATGTCCATATAGTCGTAGAAGACGGCTTTATGCAGCAAGCCGACGCCGGCCTCGTCCCGGCACATCACGTATTTACGCCGGTTGTAGTCATTCTCCAACAACTCCTGGTAAAACATTCAACATCGCTGAACTAACGTAAACAACTTTACTTATCGTGCTACGCTTCGTAGCGCTACGGCGTAGCAAATTGCTACGAGATGTTTGAGGGAAAATTCAGCTTAGTTTAAAGTTTGTAGTTGTATTTTAGTGTTATTATGTGGTAGGAAACTGGTATTGCTAATCCATTAGTTCTATGTACATACCTCAAACTAAATACATGTTTACTTTGATGTTACACGACTTACGTGCTACGGTGTTTGCGTAGTGCTTGTATTTGAACCTGTCTGTGAAATATGACAAATGGTGTACCACGGAAGTGTTGACATTGTTTAAATAGTGACTACTGGATTCCCATAGGATGATGATACAAAATAAAGAAAAGATGTAAAACTAAAATCTCAAACTACAATAGTAATTTCGTAGAGTTCTGTTTGATGCGACGCGAATACATCGTTTATTGTTTTCATGTACCTGTAAAAAGGTACAGGTAGAAATAAATACCTCTAATTACAAGTTTATTACAATTAACCTATTCAACATATACAGGCATAACAGGCAAATGAAACTAAACAATTCAAGGTTGTCCATAGAGGCAAGGCCTTTACTTACACGTATCTCTTGAGTGGGACAGCAATAAACTTGTCATGTCTATGCTTCTTACGTAGAACCTTTACACAGATTCAAGGTTTATTACCAGTAATACCTGGAGCTCTAGCAGGGAGCCTTTCTCAACGGCTGCATGGAGGGCGTCACACTTGGCCACCAATGATGGTAAGTGGTTGGATAGTGATAGGCCTTCGGTCTCGGCGAGGAGGCGCCGACCCTGGCCAGCCAGGACTGCTCGCTCCAGCCTGCTCTCAGCACCACCGCGTGCCCACTGACGAAGCTGAGCTGCTGATACTACGCCCACCACTAATGAGAAAAGTGAAGGTCGGTTAATTATAAATTATATGATTAATACTTATATTTAATGCATTGTGATTTATGTCAAACTGATTAGTCTACACGTAAGGGTAAGGAAAGTACTTGCAAAAGGAACTTACATCACTTATTTATGCAACTTCCTATGCATGTAGGTATATAGGTACTTGTCAGAAATACGAAGTTAACAAAGAGACTGTTATATACGCCTGAAAATTTTGTACTTAACTAATACATGAACACAAACTTCAATACATAAAAATATTTATGCTTTTAATGATACACACACATACACAGTCATACACAGAAATACACTATTAATTAGTCAAGATGTTCTCTAAGGCTCGTTCATGTCTCGAATATAAAATCTATCTTACACATCTGCTTAGAAATACACGCATATTCTTTAGAATTAATCTTGACTTACCTTACCCGGTTCGATTAAAAAATTTCAACTGTTTAGAACGTTTATTACACAACCTTTATCAATTTAGCATTCATTTGGAAATCAATTTATCAAAAAGCTACGTCTGAATCTACAATTTAGTAAAACGCGCTTTTTAATTAGGTGGAGAGTAGTTAAGTTGACGGTAGCAGAAAGTTACTGGAAGTAGTTACGAACTGTCGGCGTCAGTGAAGCGATCGTCTTCTGTTGATATTGCCACCAGTGATTTACTGATTGACTGTATACAGAGTGATCTTTTTGGTAAAGGTTACACATTTTTATTCAATGTAGTTTGAGTAAGAATACGTGTAGATTAAAACTTAATATACATAGAATTATACGGATGCCTTGAGTGATTCCGAAAAATAATCACCATGTAGCTGTTGTATTTAAGTCCCATGTTAAATGGACTGACTGTATTGATATAAATTCACATGGATGTTACCGATGATTATTCCTTGAGGTTTTAATACAATACTACAACTTAATGAGAGAGGTAAAATATATGCTTAAGTGTGGGAAAGCCATGCTTCGGCACGAAAGAGCCGGCTCGACCGGAGTGATTCCACGGCCTCACAGAAAACCGACGTGAGACAACGCTTGCGTTATGTTTCGTCGTGTGTGTAGTGCCGTTACCGGAGGCTCAATTATCCCCTTTCCCTTTCCCAAATCTCCCCAATCCCTGAATCCCCAACGCCTATGGTATTTCAGGTGTATATGAGCGACGCTGATTGCTTACACGCATTACCATCAGGTGATCCGTCTGCTCGTTTATTGTCTTATCCCATAAAAATAAAATATTGATTATTACACCACCGTTTTTTATGTGTAATAACTATCTAAAGAACTCTAAAAATCCATCAGCCGTTAACAGGATTAGTAACCTTGAACATTAACAAAAGATTGAGTTATTGTACGCAGATAAAATTTATAGTAATAATATAGTTTGTTTCATCAGTGTTTTTATTATTCCGTCTAGCCCAATCCGCGTCCACTTTAGTATCCATTTTAAGCTTTTTACGACGTCTTAGATTGTTATTAGGTTCTCATAATACTTATACTAAGAATAGCTAGATTCTTTATGAAGTATTACATTATGGTAATTACCTCTATAATGCGACAAAGAAATTAGGGTACAGATACCCATCATTAATTCACTACGCATTATATAATCTGAATCACACTAATATTATAAATGTGAAAGTTACTTTGTTTGGATGTTTGTCTGTCAATCACTATGAAACTACTGAACGTATTTTGATAAAATGTACAGGGTATTTTTTTAATGGGGGGAAATCATCGAATGAATGCTCCCGCCTAGGTGAGGCGGGAGGGAGTATCGGACTCTTACTGACTAAAAACCACCCCGTTCCTTCTCTTGCACGTCGAGCCGGAGCCCCGGTAACCCGTTAAGTTCTCCGCGACGTGTACAGGGTATACAGACAGGGTATGGGTTGACTTAGGCGATAGGATACTTTTTATCCCGATTAAATGTTCCAATGGGATAAAACAGGAATCATATTCTACGCGGATGAAGTCGCGGGCAATAGCCAGTAATGCATAAGTCGTTATAAGTAACAAGACATGTTAATAACTTTATCGACCCGTTTTACGCAATTAAATGATTCGTATTTGTAAGTCCTAAAAAATACAGAGCTAATACGAATCTATAAAACAAATTAAGATACAATTACTAGAACGCTTGACCAACTTAATAACTGTAACTCTGATAATTATGTAAGTAATATCCTACTTACAAACTACCATAATATTATTCATTTATATTTAAAAATAAGCGTACTTAAGTGAATTCTAATACGATTTATTTTTACTCATATTATTACGTGACTGCATAAAAACATCCTGTTAATGGCGTGGTTTTTCCTAGCGGTTAGATTACAAGATTTATGCGTTAACAGTCGGTTGTAGGACTTATCACGACATCTGCTGACCTCACAATCTTAGGGCGAAAACATACCAGCATGCGAAAAATAAAAAACCTGTCAAACAATTAATTAACATCTACCACAGATTATACATAAAAAGGTGGGATCGTTTAGAATCTTGTCTATGATTTTGTTATTTTTTTCTAAATGTGTTCGACCTTATTCGTGTATTCTGTTATGTTCTAAGCACATGAAACAGTACAGCATATAATGACATGCGACAAGTTCATGCTAGAATTATTCAGTGTTTGCATGAAACTGGGTTAATTAAGATTAAGTGTTTTTAATTAAACCCCCGATTGGAAAGTGCTTTGAGGGTGTAAAAACAAAGTGTATTAGGTATTTAGTGGCGCTCACGAAAATATTATGTATGTAAAGAATCGTGGGGTGGTATTACCACTACTCTACACAACGACTAAAAGCAGCAATCTTAATAAAATGAAACATGTTGTGTGATTTTATAATAACTATCGTGAGACATACTAAATTTACGGGTTACTCACGTGAATATACTGAGAAAAGCTCTACTAATTTCGAACCACAGAGGGGGTTTCCTCATGAGCAGCGTGCGCGGTCGCAAGAACCCCTCTGTGGTTCGAAACTAGTAGAGCTTTTCTCAGTTTTCGCTTTAGTTAATGTTGTGTGATGTTGAAAACACGATTGTCATCATTAAAAACTAGAAATTTCCCACTCATTCTTACATTGGACTACAAAAGCAATCCATTGTTCCAAAAATAAGATCCAATTTATTTACGAAACAGTGTCAGTATTAACCATTAAAATAATATCCGTATCTAAGTACTAGGAGTGATAACATATTAGTACCTGGTGTTGTGACGTGCGACACCATTTACCGGATCGTTATGGGTGAACAGCCGCGGGTGATCGAACCCCATCAATATTAACGGACCCGACACCCTTTTATCGTGTTTATAGACATAGACACTAATTTGCCATACATTGCTCGGTCATTTCAGAGCAATTATCGTGATTCCCTAACAAAATTAGCAGTGTATTAGTGTTTTTTTATTAACACATGACATCACGTCTTTTCTATCCGAAGGGGTAGGCAGAGGTGTACATTATGCCACTGTACAATGTAACACCCACTTTTTACTGTTTATGTTATGAGTCCCATGTGATAGGGGGTGAGCCTATTGCCACATACCAGACACAATTTCAGACTCCATGCTACTACTGAGAATTTTTAAACCTACTAATTCTTTGCCCGACCTAGGAATCGAGCTCGAGACTCCTTGCCCGGGAGTCGCACTTGCACCCACTGGGTCAACGAGGCAGTGCTTCTATTTATAATCAAGTTCAATAATATAATTGACTAGCTGCTGCCGCACGGTTTCACGGCTCCAATTGATCGCCGTGTAATATTTTATACCTTATGCCTTCCTCGTAAAATAGACTATCCAATGATAAAATAACTTTTCAAATCAGACTAGTAGTTCAGGAGATCAACGCTGATAATTAAAAAAAATAACTCCGCGCCTTTATACAATAGTACATACTACATAGTACCTAATAAGTAATAGTATAAATAAAGTATACAGAGTATTGATTATTTAATACGTTTAGTTAAAAATACTAACCCAAAAGAACTCATTACCCTTTTACCGTATTTATAGACATAGACACTTAATTTGTAATACATTGCTTGTGTATTTCAAAACAATCACAGTGGTTGGTGATCAAAGCACGTATTGTATAGACTTTAATTTATTTGTTCGAGTTATTTGTGGAATTTAATAAGCTTAGATTATGGTTTGTTCCATATTATACGATGCTGACATAGCCTTAATTGTCATTGAATATCATTAAAAGGACTTATAATAAGATACTTATGAATAGTTAACAATGTGTTTAGAATTTATGCGTTCTTAAAAAAATATACTGATTTCAGAGGAATATGTGTGACATTAATAAAATTAATGTTTGTCCTGCACATAATTTAAACAATAAATACTTTTTATTGTATCCACTCCAGTTATGTTGTTCCTACCTATTTATGTGATTGCAATACCTCTGACATTTATTGCAAAAAATACCGGACTCACGACATCACGCTAAGGTCGAATCGCACCCACGCCGTAACCAGCACTTGTTGAAATAAATTATAATATAAACCATAATTATTGTTTTTAATCATGTTATTCGTCTGTACATAATAATATACTGACCAGATTGGCGATATATTAAAGAAGGGCCAAATTAAAAGTACCCTTAACCGACGAGAATGCATGAAAAGATTGATGACTGTTGGTGAAGCGAAAGAGGTATGTAGGAATTGTAGCAATTGGCGTTCCATAGTCTCTGCTTACCCCCATAGGCGACAGGCGTGAAGTTATGGATGTATGTATGTCATCTGTACATCTTTGTATTACCTACGAGTTTTGGATCTGATGTCATCACAAGAAATAATGATTTAATTAGTTAGATTTGTACTGCTATGGAGTTTCTTGCTCATTCTTCTCCATTCAAAGCTACACTTTAGAACGAGCGCTTAGCTTCACTCAGACAGACAAACGGACAATTACAATTACAAAATTGCTTTAATTTAAATAAATGCTGTGACTTTCGTAATTTTTGTTGTTGGAACCCTATTTAAACCTTCAACATTGTATAGAATAAAAAAAAAATATTTCCCAGACCCACAATTCAGTTTTGCCATTTAAAAAAAGAAGCAATCAAAATATAACTTTTTTTATTCTGAAACAATTCGATCTTCAAATTCTTTCGTGTTAGTATATTGGTGAGCATGATTGAAATATTTTTTCTTTTTATAAAAAATATGTTAGACAGACAAATTACATAGGAAAAAAGCTTTCAGGTTTATATGGCAATTTGGTACGTTTACATTGGTTTGATGGAGCGCCGAGCGCCCCGGTAAGCGAACAGTTTCCTGGCTAGCACGCAACCTCCTACATTTTCCAGACATGTTTCAAACGAGTTGTTTACCCAGTGTTTTCGTTAGGCCTGTTTAAACAAGCTTGTTTCTCTTTTTTGTAAGTTCAAAGTAAAAGGTAATAAAATTGTGAAATTGTGTTAGTTGCCTATCTAATATAGATGTTTATAGATATTATTATTCAATAAAATTATAAACTATGTCCAGACACATAATAATTATTTGGAATAACACTGCCAGTAATACAACTACATTTTATGCCTTTACCTCATAATGACATAGTTAACCTCTCAAACTGCTATTAAAAGAGACACATGGAAATATATGGAAAATACATTGTGTTTATGCCAGCATCACACTCTCGCAGGAGCGGACACGAGGTCAAAGTACATTATAGTCATACAATGAGAGAAAGATTACACGTGTTTCATAATAACGACAATGTATCTCAGCGTCGTCTCGATGTACGCGAGAGTGTGTCACTGGCATTAGATTTACATCAAAACTGGATGAACAGATTCAAAAAACAGATGGCGATTCAAATAGATTAGCATAAATGTTGACGAGACTCTTTACCTCTTCACTCTTTGATTTACATTCCAGATGCATTCCAGCAAAACATTGTTTATGATTATAAATACTAAGCTACTTAGGTAGGTAGCTAGGTACCTTATACCTATATAATACGGGTTACCAGGGCTCCGGCTCGACGTGCAGGAGAAGGAACGGGGTGGTTTTTAGTCAGTGAGAGTCTGACACTTCTTCCCGCCTCACCCAGGCGGGAGCAGTCATTCGATAATTTTCCCCCCTTAAAAAATATCTATATAATTTCTTTCTAAAATACTCACATTTTGGTGGACTATAATGCACGTACATCCCATTCTTCCTCGGATTTCGTTCTGTCAGCCATTTCTTCACGCCCTCCATGGTAAAAGAAGATGAGTAGACAAATCACATGTTTTTTTTAAAGCACAACAATTTAGTTCCAAATCACTTACACTAATAGTGGGTATAGTTTTTTAATTAGCTGGTATTTATAATTGATTCAAGTTTCAAACACAATTCTACTGTTTTGTATTTAGCTATTAATCCCTAAATAACTTTTTAAACTCAATCAAGGCAATTTGTTATTGATTCTTTCAGTTCCCATAGAAAAAAACGGTACTACAATTGAACTATCCAAATGACGAATGTACCTGGATTTAAATAAATACTCCAGTTCTATTAATTATGACCACTGGTCACTTGTGTGTTCTTAGATGACGTAAAATGTATTAACAACTTATTAACACTAACAATTATTAAGCGTGTCTTTAGAATTCACGGGACTACAGAGTCCCGGTCATTTGGGAGGCGTACGAGGGCCCGAAGCCAATTGCACAGAGGCCTTTTATACAACTTTTATCTAAATGTAATGGCCACACAAACCGGCGACTATCCCTGTAGTATTATTAACATTAATATATTATGTATTAACAACTTAATTATTTAGTAATTAAAGTCGTTCAATTAAACTCACATTTCGTATGTTCATTAAAAATAAAGTCTACTTATTATATACCTACTTTAAGCATGTAGATACATAGAAAATAAAGATGTTTTTCACATGAAAATGTCATGGTCTATTCTTATAGATGTAATAACCATCAATCGATACCGTGTCGAGGTGGACGATGGAAATCGTTTCCTATAAAATATTTACCGATGTCCGACTAACATCATTCTAGAAACCTTAATACGGTAAATTACTTTAACAAAACCATATTTGCTTTATGAAATACAAGACAAACTGTTTCACATGTACATTAAAATTGAATGAAGAAACAAGATTATTGATTTGAATTTGAATAACCACTTTAAATTGTAGTTTAAAATATCTGATGCACTTAGGAACTGAATCGTTCAATCATTCACCACAGATAAAGCAAAGAGTTCAATTTAACTTTAAACAAAACCGTTCTTAATTTTATTTATACACTGTATCCAAGGTGACGTCACATCGTTCACACATATACACTCATATTTAGGTACACTAATACAATTTAGTCATAAAGTCTTAGATATAGGACACGAGTGATAGCAAGTGTATAATCAACTGGACGCGCTCCTCGGTTCACATCAACGTGGTGTTTAGCAATGCAACAATACGTACACTCTACCGTACAAGTTGCTACTAATCGTTATTTGAAAATTACAATTTTTATCAACTGGAATGTGGTAAGTGTGTGAGAGCCATGCTTCGGCACGAATGGGCCGGCTCGATCGGAGTGACACCAAGGCCTCACAGAAAACCGACGTGAAGCAACGCTTGCGTTGTGTTTCGTCGTGTGAGTGAGGTTACCGGAGGCCCAATTACCCTCCCCTTCCCCAATCTCCCCAATCCCTGAATCCCCAACGATCCTCAAACTCCTAATCCCCAAAAGGCCGGTAACGCACTTGTGACGCCTCTGGTCTTCCAGGTGTCCATGGGCGACGCCGATTGCTTACCATCAGGTGACCCGTCTGCTCCTTTACCGGTTTATGCCATAAAAAAAGCAAAAAGGTTTCAGGATTGATTCCTAGATTGCCAGGACGAATTTTTTTTAGACACGTTAATTTTGAAAATATAAAATTAGCAACAAGCTTGCCTCTAATGACATCTGTAGAATATAAAAATGACTATGTAAAAACATTGTTTACCCGTTCGGAAATTGTAAAGCACGACGTCGCGTCGTTGAGTATTATAAATATTTGTGGATTGGTTTAAATTCAGAATAAGCAATCGCTTTCAATCTAAGAAAAAAATATAGCAATTTATGGTCGAAACTTTAGTTCGTGACTGTACGTGATTCAGCGAAAAAAAATAAATATATAATGTGATGACACAAAAGCAGCTGACATCGATATTAATGATCACACCACAGTACCCTTTCTTCTGCTAATTATCTTCCGTCGTATGACGCGTTTTAAAGAAAATTGCTAGACATCTGTCCTAGATAATGTACGTTTACTTACATATTTACTTTAACCATAATTATCAAATTAATATGACCTTAAGATTACTACATTTTTCTCATGTAGTTTAGAGTTAGGTACATCCTTTACAAAATATCAGACATTGGCTACAAAGGCTTGACAAACAAAATATAACATTCAGTTTCGAACTACATAATAATAAATTACTTCATTCTACTTATCTTCAGATCGTAGGCAGTTAGTGTCTCGTTCGTCAACGGCGACCTAACATTATAATAAAAAATTGAAATGCAGCCAAGTGGCGGGCATTATGTAAACAACGGCACGTGCAACGAATGGTCCGGTTCCCGAGCTCGGCCTTGCAGGCTATACATTATTGAACACGAGTTGCTACGTTAAATGAAGATACTAGGTATTTTAAATGAAGATAGTCTAAGGCCCGATTTTTAAATCTTCAGTTCATATTTAATCTATATAAATAAAAATGAATTGCCGTTCGTTAGTCTCGCTAAAACTCGAGAACGGCTGAACCGATGTGGCTAATTTTGGTCTTGAAATATTCGTGGAAGTGCAGGGAAGGTTTAAAAGGTGAGAAAAATATTTTTTAGGCGGTACGAAGTTTGCGGGTCAGCTAGTTGTAGAATAAAATTGTCATTCGGCAGTTTTCAGTATCGAATAGTTGTCAAATATTCAAAGTTGTTCCTCAGTTAAAATTTATCTGGCGTTGGAAAAATCGGCCCTTACTTTACTAAAGCGTATTTTTTATGTAGAAGGAAATGTCCTGTGTAAAATGTCACAGTGTAACGATGATACAAGGAGTGGGGTGAAGATTTTAGTGTCATTTTATTAAGCCACACTAGTCCTATTTGTATAACTTCTTTACAAGACAGACTGTTAAATAGAAATGACGGTTCACTCACGGGCAGCGTGCGCGATAGGGCACCGCGCACGCTGCTCATTATTTTAGACTCCCTCTGTGACTCGAAACTAGTAGAACTTTACTTGCTCAATGTATATTTACGTAAGTTTATCGTTATTTTTAATTTACTTCTTCATGTGTTCTCAATTGTCATTAAACAAAAAAATCTACAATAAAAACCAAATTGCAAAGATATACTATATTTAAAAAATATTTAAATTGCATATAAAGAATTCATATGAAAATTTAACTATTTCATAATACTCTTTCGGGTGTTACATCTATTCACGTCTTAATGTTTCAACTGTTCATTTATATGAGGCTTACTATTGGACAATGTGATGTTTATATTGAGTCCAATGTCCTTCTTGTTAGGACTCGGCGAAGATGAAGTACTTGGCTCTGCATTGTTAGGAGCTGCACTGTTTTGAACTGTAACAGAAATAATAAGTTAAACATAGATAACCTTCATTAATAATGTAAAGATAATATATTGTAACATACCGTTATTTAATTGAACGTTCAGAATGCGATGATATAATTCATTGAATTTCTTCTGACGCTTCATATTAGACGGAGTGCGTACAACTAACGTCGGTAGTAGGATGTAATGTTCCAGGTTGGGCTCATCTCTATTGTACTTTCGATGGGATGCTACTTTTTTTATGACCAACCGAGGATTCCTTGGCTTGCAAGTGGAACTACTGCCACTAGTTAATTCACGACTCCCAGTGCGTCGCTTCTTATGAGTAGCACAACGTCTGTCTGGCTTCATCGGGCTGCATGCCTGATAGCAGCACGTTGGTTCTCTCCCAGCTGGAGACCTGTTGACCGCGTAACTTGGACCTGGGGAACAATCTTCGTATCCATGTCTGCGATCTAAGTTATGATGATTATGTCGCGTCTCTAATCCCAAACGATCATGACTTCTTGGGACTCTGCGCAAACCTGGCTCAGCCCATCGTCTATCGGCGATCATGGCGCTTGCCGCATTGTGATCACTTATTGCTACCTCATCGCCTTGCCTATTTTTATGACTGGCCACAATGATATCTCCAGTCTTGCCCACAGGTCTACAACTTTCATGTCGATGATTCAATTTAACTATCCTGTAGTGACGTCGCCGCCTGCGCTCTACGTGTGCGACGCGCTCTCTCAACAGGCTGTCAATGAGTCGCTGGAGCTCACCTCTTGTGCTACATCTCTCAGAGTGAGCCACTCGCCGCCCAAGTCTAGCATTGGGCCAATGTGTGCGACATACATCTTCCCAAATAATATCGCTAAGAACAGCTTCTCGTGATGGTGTTAGTTTTATGCCATCATCGCGTGGAGCGAATTCACCTTGCGCTAAATAGTGGACTGTATCCATCAGCCGGTAATCACGCACCGGATTGAGTTTGTGTCGAATCTTATGGACTCTCTCGGCTGCCATCTTAGGGATATCATCTCGTTTACATGGCACTGAGGCACACTGTCGCCGGCCCCGGGCAGTGATGCCATCGTATGCAGTAAAGTCACGACCGTATTGCTCAGAATTATGCTCTTTCTCTATGGTGGTAGCCTTACTTGGAGAAAGTGGAGCTGCTTGCTGCGCGTAGCGTTGGAACGCTGATGTTTCAGGAACATGGCTATACTGCTGAATATAGCTACACCCTGGCCTGCCGGTCACAGATGTAGTCTTCATTATGGTACCTTTGGGCTCTTCATCTGATGAAGACAGAGGCATATTAGGATCAATTGAACGAAAAACCAATTCTTGTCTCAAAATTTTACGCTCCAAATGATCTATTCTTTTATACAAGTGATTGAGTGCAGTAGCAGAACGAGGTACAGAATCTTCAGACGATGTGTTCGTGATTAATGTGGCAATATCAACTTTATTGGAATTTACCTTCTTTTTGTTAGTTTTTACATCAGTTTTAGGAATGTTCATATTTAACTGTGGCTGTGTATAAACATAGCATTTTTCCGCAGATCTTTGTTTTGCATTATACACATTTACCTTTTCCGGTACGTTGTTAGTTTGAGAACATTTCGAAACTACTGGAGAACTTTCTACCTGAATAGTGACCGAGGAGACTTTATCTGCTTCTATTTTGCTTTTCGTATAAGGCCTTTCTGAACCACAAGCGATCGAATTTATAAAGTTTGAATCATCTTCAGTAAAATCTGAAAAATAAACAACGTTGAGTTTGCAAATAAGCCTTTCAAATTATGACTATATGCTAGAAAAATGTACTTACGGGATGTAAAATAAGAATGGTCTCCGATACCAAGACGTGAGCCCGACGTGTCTCCACCCTGAATAATATATTAATTGTGAATTCAGAATAACCCAAGGCGGATCATACTTACCATTCGAAATATATTGGTTGCATCTACCTTTTTAGCTTGGAAGCGGCTCTTCTCGGCAATGTATATAGTTTTGATGGCGGGCGCTCTCGGTTTTATGGATACGAGAACTCTTTGTGATCCCTGATGGCTGGTTGGATTCTTTTGAAGGATTTCTAAGTCTGGGAACACCAAATTGTATTTTAATATTCACTTCAAAGTCAGTATACCTCTATAAGGTGAGCGTTACCTAGAAGAAGTTGTTTCTTCGGCAGGCGGACTGAGCCCCCTGCGAAACAGTTGTAATCAACCTCACGTATCAATTTCTCTTCTTGGATGGACAATAACTTCTTCTTGGATGGAGACTGTTTATTTTCCATCACATTTTATTTTCCTCTTCCCATGCATAGTTCTAAAATCAACCCGCCTGAACTATAATGATAGGTGACTAAAACAATAATTTATTTAAATGTAAGTAAAAAAAATTTTACATTATTCTGACAGATGCTTTGACTAGAAATGTTTTTCTTCTTTCACCCATAGCTTTATTTATGGTACGGTATGGTAGGAGTTTGTATACCGTTTTAGCAAATAGAGTGCAAAATGTCGAAAAGCGAGAGACTCTGCCTACCCTGTCTAGGAATAAAGTTACCATGTTAATTCATGTATCTCTTTTGTTGTGTATGCTTCGATTTGAAATCTATTTTACTTGGCAAATTAAAAAGCTTTAATTTTTTAAGGGATTTTATTTTTCAGTGGTATTTCTTTGGACGGGAGCCTTTTCTCAACGTCCTTGGACGAGAGTCATGAAATGTTCTCCTTGTTGGTAAACACTACGATACTTTTTCACACGAACACATTTCGAAAATGGAAAATAACGAAAAACAAGTAAGTTAACTGTCAAAATTTACAAAGCGTGACGTTTCACCCATTTTTACTTTTCTAAAAATTGTTAGCCATTTTTCTGGTGACAAATTAGTAAGGTTTTAGGGTACATTGAACGTATGGATGCTTGAATTACTGTGATCTTGGAAGATGACGGATCAAGAGAAGGACACTGGGGCAACGCCTGCCGGAGGGTCGAAAGTAGTGATGGTAGAACAAACGACGATGTCATCACACAAGCCCTACCGCCCCACTGACCTGCAGGACGATGCCTCAGGGGAGCTCCACCACAAGCGGTCACGTGCTCCCGCTGTCCCGTGTATGTATTTATCTACTTGTATTCTAATCTGACAATCTCAATCACTCCAAATTGACAACTCATATATTAGTCTACTTCTACAAAAATTGGTTTACAGAGACTACTGTAAATCAATCAGTCCCTCTGTAAACCATTCTTACATTTTACTGATTTATTCTTGTCGTTTTTAATTAAGCAGTGTGAGGTTTCAGTCGTAAAACTAAAACATAACAAAACTTAAAATTAAAACAAACTTTGCACGGGATTCTGACGTGTATATTACATAATTCTAAAATAAGAATTTGTGCACAGGTGTGTACATACATCATATCTAGTTCTTAGTACACTTTCTAGCTTAAACTTTAATATTGACAGCTGTAGCTGAAGAATTCAAAGATACACCTGAAAGTGCAGAAATCAAGGAACAACTAGAATCAACAAAGGGAAGCGAGTGCGGTGAGATTACTTTTCTACATCAAATACCTAATATGATTTATTACAAATTGCTATAACATGAAATAACTCTATTTCAGGGATATCTGTCGATAAGATCAATAATATCGAGAAGAAAGTATCTTCGACGATCAGTAAAAAGCGACCGTCTACACCAGAGGCTATACCACTAGCACCAATAGAGGTTGAAGTAAAGGTGAGGTCAATGAATCAGTTCCCGTCGGCTGTCACGAACACTCTTCCAACACGCCACTGTCGTGTGATAACGGCTTCGTATCATACATGGTAATTTGAATGCATCGCAAACGATAGCAATTAAATGACGCCGTGCGACATTGTTGAACGTGAATCATTCTTGTATTGTGTTGCACTCTTGTTAACGTCGTAATATTGTTCTAGAAAACTGAAATTCTTGCTTCACCAACATTACACCCTGTACAACACCCTGTACAACCCATACCGCCTGGCCTGGGCTCTAAAGCGTCCGAAGTCTCAGATCTTCCAGATAAAAAGGAAACAGAAGGAAAAGAAGAAGAGGATAGTATAACGGGAGAGATCGCTGAACTACGGACGCCAGATCCCACACAAAAATCTACAGAATGGGTACGAGTATTGCTATTCCCTATATGCTACTTGCTGATATTATTGATTATTGCATTGTGTTGATGTGATACATTTGAGTAATGCATATACCTGAAGGCATTGGTTTATTTGTAATTTTTTAAGGATGCCCTGACCGGTTCGATCTAAAACAGGTCGGCTATAACTGCGACAGTGTCGATACGCGGCAGCCCGCACGCCACACAGCCGATGTGCTTCGACCTCATGCAAAATTATTGTTTACGAAATGAAGTAAAAAATGTTGATATGGAAATGATTATATTACACGTTAGCCATGGTTGTGTAGGAAGCAGTGCTGCGGCTTGTATCGTATTGGGCCGCGGTAATGTGTTGTTGTGGTTGTAGTCTGACGAGGAGGAGGCGGGCGGGCTGCCGCGCAGTGACTCTCGGGCGTCCCGCGTCAGTCGCGCCGTGCGCCAGCTGTTCTGTTGCGGCGTGCCGTACGACGCCCCCTCCGAGGAAAACGTGTCGACCATGCGCGGCGACTTCCCCAGTGGCATCTAAACCTGCTTTGGCACTCGCACTCGCACTGTACAACATAAAGCTTACAATGTGTTCGCGAGTTGGCCATTGCCATTTCCGAGCATCTCGCCTTTGTCGTAGTAATTTATTAACGAATAAGGTAAAGTGTTGAGATAATCCAATAAAATATGTGGTGAACGATTTACCAAAAAATAATGATTGTCACTGAAATGGACCGGAAACTGTAGAGGCGACTGGGTTCGGGAATGGCCAGCTGAATAAAACTGAACAAACCTTCATCATGTAAACATTGCGTATGTACTTACTGTGTATATAAAATTACAAATAAAAATAGATTATGTGCTTTAACAAGGGTCTGGGTATTTATTGAGTTGGCATATAGATTTCAGTATGTCCAAAGTTTGAATCAGATGTGACATGTACAAATGCAACTTTACTCATGCTGTGTAATATACATACCTATAAACTATTACTTTTAATAAGATATAATATATATACTCTTATTGGTTTATCAAGTATTATAGAGTATGATATTATTTGACTGGGTTAAAAATAAATGTATATTCATAAGAATAATTTAGCTACATAATTGTTTAGTAACATTATCGATAATAATATTTAGTGTCCATCAACAGTTGTATGAGAATATTACAAATTAAAGTACCAATTAAAATACCACTTTCTGTTTTACTAGTATTTAGTTTGAATTCCCTTGTTTTTGAACGCAAAAGATGTTTTAGGACACTGAAAATCATAGTCAAAATAAAGTGCCTGAAAACCAAGAAACTGAAGGAGCTGTACCACTGCAGAGAAAACTTGCGAGTGAAACTATTAGGAAAAGTGTAAGTGAATTTTCTTTTCATCTTGAATATGAGTTTTACGAGTAGTGTTGTTATTTAGACTATGTTTACTACCAGCTAACCGACGACAAAATGTATCGGAGACCCAATTATCCCTCCCCCCTTCCACAATCTTCCCAATCCCTGAATACCCATCAATTACCAATCCCCAATCTTAAAAATCCTCATCCACAAAAGGCCACTAACAGACTTGTAACGCCTCTGATGTTCCAGGTGTCCATGGGCGACACCGATTGCTTACCATCATCCGCCTGCTCGTTTACCGGCTTATCTCATAGAAAAGCTACAAAAGTACAATCATCAACAAGTCACCTTTCATTGACGATGATTGCTATGTTTCAAATTCATAGATATATTTTACTGATAGTTTATGATAAACCTTATGGCAAAATGTAGTTTTTTATCGCATATGTATTTGTAAAAACTAAGCCATTAAGATGTTCTAGGGTAATGAATTAGAAAATGAAGATATTTCCGGGATCCAACATATAGAAAGGAATTCTGAAAGAAAGTCTAAAAGTGAAACTATAAACCAATGTGTGAGTAAAAATTATACTTTATATTTGTAGATATTGATAGTTGTCCTGTCGGAATACGTATTTGTAACGAGTAAATATTTGCAATTTAGCTTTTTACTTTATATTAATTAGATATTATTATTTTCATTATATTTATGATACTCATAATACTACTTTCTACTTATACAGGGAGTAGTTTTGAAGCCGTGTCATTTCTCGGGGGCGTGTCACAGAAGTCATAAAGGTTCAATGTAAGAGAAAGTTTCGGGCCAATAGTTAAAAATACGGCTATAATAAATCGTTTAGTTCGACAGTATTTCAGAATAAGCGACAGCAATGTTTCTTATTAGAGTTTTATGGAATTAGGAATAATATCAATTACGTGTTTGAGTTTTTGTGTGTTAAGCCGCGTTATAAATCTAGTTACAAGACGGTGGCGTGTAGTCCGCACTTACGGATTTCCGTAATTTACAGAAAAATGAAACATATTTACCTACAACTGTTTTTATTGATTCGGACTCAGAATCGATAGCCGACTTACCTCCTAGAAAATGACGCGGCTTTAAAACAACACCTTGTATTATAAATGCAAGAGATTGCTTGTCTGTTTGTTTGTCCTGTTACTCTTCAAGCGGCTGAAGGGATCTGGATGATATTTGGAACAGGTGTACATATGGTTTGGAATAACACATAGGATTTTAATCCCACAAGAAACCGCTTGGTAGAAGTTAGTACAAAATACTCTTCACATACCTACGTATATTAATTTTCAGGTTACAAGTTCTCACGAATTAAAGAGAAAACAGATCTCTTGGAATGAGTCCACGTATTTGGATAAAGTACAGCTTCAGGTTATGAAACTTTATTATTTGTAGATAGGTGTACAGGTGTACAGTCTATTACGGCTTTTTCAACCGGGGCTAACGTTTTATGCTCACTAGATGGCGCAAATGTAAAAAAGAGTTTTTGTCCAATCACATCAGCTGTCAAATATTGAACGTCCAATGATGTGACACTAGCTAGTTTCCTATTGGACGACGAACGATAGTTCACACTCGCCCCATTTGATGAGCAAAAATACGGTAGGCCCCATTTATGCGTTACGTATCGAAGCGATGCGTTTGACGTACGATAAACGGGTGTTCATTTATGTTCATACTATAAGCGCGGTGCGGACGGTGCAATTTCGGTAATTTTAGTACAAAAAATGGGTGACAACAAGTCGGTACTGTCCCAAGCTCCCCGTGTTCATTTTGCTGTTAACTAGTGCAGCGACAAGACGTGAGAGCTAATTATATGTTGAATTGAATGATTAATAATACCAGGGAAACTTAAATATAGGTAGGTACGCCTAAAATGGCATATTTTGGGCGTACCTACCTATATGTAAGTATATTTCGCGATTCGATGCAAGTCAGTAATTCTGATGCCTAATTTATATTATTACAAAAATTATAATTTCTATTTTAGGACTTGAATACTCGAAATACTCGAAGTACGTGGGATTTAGAGCGGAAAGCCTCAATAGGTCCATGTTACAAAAAAACTTTGCCGTTTGGAGAGCCATCAGGAATATCGATATTTTTGCCTAAGGTTGGAGTTTTAATTAAGAAAATAAAATAAGTTTTGAAAGTATGAATGTCTGGATTTATTATATCTTAATGGGACTTGTTTGTGTACGAATTGGAATTTAAGGAACCTTATGTCTCTATGTATTTTTGAAAATAAAAATAATTTTCATGCTCCATTTTTACAAACACGTAGTACAAAATACTTGACTTATGTACGTCCAAATGGCTTGTAATATGTGTCTTTTCTTTCAGAAGTCTTCAAAAAGTATCAAAGAGGATGTTACTTTTGTTAAATCAGGCATCAGTTTGATCTTGTCAAAGGTACTTATTGGTGAAATTGTAACTAAATAAATAGGTACAATTACAATCTGATAATAACAAATATCACAATAGAAATAACTATAATCAACTTTAAATGTAATGTTTCAGAAAAATTTTGAAACAAAGGAGTTTGAACTCCCAAAAGACAGCGATAAAATTTCAAGAAAAAAGAACCACATCGATATCAAAGTAAATAACATACATATTATATACCTTATCGTAAGTTCCCTAAAAAATCTACAAATAGAATAGCGTAACCGATGTTTTTTAAAAGAACATAGGCGAAGATAGTAGTAGGTATGTTGGGCTTGGGCATCTTTTAACGCACCTGTCTCGTAGTTGCGTTATAAAACATACAAAAATATCACATACGCATACTCATCGCATGTATTGTATACAATCAGACCATGAATATATGAGCTATTAGCTCACACAAAGAGCTGTTTTGCGCCGCAGCGGCTGCACTAACCGGGCACTCAAAAAAGAAAATTTTATTTCTAATAGTACCTAGTCTACACAAAGAATGGCATTAAACTGTACATTAACATTTTTCTGACAAAAAGATACCTGTATCTTCCTGTATATTCCTGTATTTTATGATACGTACGAATATTCTGGATACAATTATTTATACTTACATACTTGAGTAGGTACATCTTTCACCATTTTTTTTTACCCAATGACTTCTAGGGTGTCAGTAGGGTGTCTCTTACTGACTAAAAACAACCCCGCTCCTACCCCTGCATTTCGAGCCGGAGCCTCGGCAACCCGTTAAGTCCTCCGCGGTTACATCTACCATACTACATACTTGATTACAAATGGTTTCAACATCACCATCAATATCATCATCATCATCATCATCATCATCATCATCATCATCATCATCATCATCATCATCATCATCATCATCATCATCATCATCAGTCCAAATGTGTTAATTGTAATTATTTTCCAGGTGGAAGAAGGCCAATGTGATACTATATTTGGTAATATTAAAGGGAAATTGGAATACTTGCGTGGAAGGATAAAACATGCGCTGCACATGTAGTCTCGCTGTCACGAGCACATTTTTTTTTTACTTCATCATCATATCCATATTATTATCAACCCCTCCCCAATTCGCGAATCACCAACAATGCTTAAATTCCTAAATTCCTCTGGTGTTCCGGGTGTCCATGGGCAGCGTTGATTGCTTACCGCCAGGTGATCCGTCTGCTCGTTTACCGGCTTATCTCATAAAAAAGTCAGCCACAAAGTCAGCCACAAGACGCAAGATGTCTACGACTGAACACAGGCTTCCTATTCTATGCTATATTATATCCTATCCGATATCCTTCCTATCCTATATCCTTCCTATCCTACCTACAGATATGGTTGGAAATGGGAAGGACCTGCGTTCATTTTAATAACATTTAATTATGTTATTTCGAAGTTTTTTTTTGTTATTGTTATTTGAATTTATGAGTAAAATATTTTTGCTTATACTGTATACTTTTATTTTAACGCATAATTATAAAATATAATCTTGTAAACAACACAAAAATACACATTTGTTTTCGCACAATTTTTTTGTGATTAATGGACAGTTAATTCGTGGATATTGACGTATTCTGCTTTTTCGCACATTTCACAGATGATATAAGTACCTAATTAGTATACCAGTCTTACAAAACGGACGCCTCAAAAATTTATCTAAGTAAGAGATGTTGCTAGCTGTATGCGACGCAACTGCATATTTCGTCATCCATAATAACAAAAAAGCAGTCTAGTCTGAAGAAACAATTAAGGGTTCATACGCACTATGCCCGCAATGCGGCTAGCCGACCGGTTGATCGCAGGATGCGGTTGCGAATGCGGCCAGCCGGATTCTCAATCACAACGTGCGATTGAAGAACCGTTGCGGTTTGCAGTCATACCGATCCATTTCAAAGATGGACGCGGAAGATATTGCAGCTATTCTATTAAGCTAAGTTGCCGGCCGACTCTGGATTTCGATGTTAAGGTTTTCTCTATCGAATCCTATTGTACCGGACGTACCACGTACACACACTCACACTCACCCTCACCCAATGGCGGGCAGCCGCAGACTGAGCCGCACAGTGCCTATAGCAACCGTCCGGGTGGTCATCACTCGGGCCGCAGCCCTCCGAGCGGCCGGAGCGGTCTGGTAACCGCATCACAGTGTGGACAGAAATGAATACTACGTACATAATTGTGCTTGCGGTCAGCCGGACGGCTGGCCGCATTGCGGGTAACCGCATAGTGCGTATGAACCCTAACAGACATCTTCTGCTCAGCTATAAACGTGTCATTTAAATTTGAACATTAAATCGTATGTCGTATGATATATTTCATAACGTCAATCAACAGCGGGTTGTCAGTCAGAACGCAAACGGCGTGCTTACAGGTACTTTCGACATAAACACAAATCCTTGCAGATTCTAGTTCAGAACTTATGAACAACTTTTTATTGCACTTCTAGAATTTGAAGTTTCAAATTTTCAGTATTTATACAATGCAATGTGTCAATTCATACGGAAAGTGTATTTAGTTTTTTCCAAAAGTACGAAAACATAAGTTGTTCATATTCACGACCAGAACCAGCGTGCTTACTTTGATATACATATTTTAATATTTTGTAGAGCAAGGGTTTCGATTTTTCCGTCTGATTTCGGCAGCCATGCGGACGCTCCTAGGCATCTTGTCCGGACACGAGGCAGTTCGAACGGGCATCTGGTGCATTATATTAGCTGCACGAGCTGCGTCGTAGTCACAATCACGAGGACGCCAGCACAGTTCTGTGCCGCCACATTTGCAGGACATCTCTCGACAAATCTGTAATTAATCAGTAAACAGTGAGCTTGACCGCAGCGATTGTGCAGCAGCAACTACTGTGCAGCAGTGCGACAGTGTACCGCGAGACCGCGACCCGAATATGAGCCTCTAGCATGGCTTGAAACTAATCGAGTTACCCGTCAAACAGTTACGTGAGTAAACCGAAAACATATAATCCCGTCCCGGGAATCGAACCCCAGACCCGCTTGATTATGTTTGTTTTGGTCTAAGAAATCATGGAATATGATCTAACCATATAGAGGTCTTTGACCACACCGAAAGATGGCGGAATAGCGGGAACCAGTCGAAACCCTCACCTGCCATATTCATACTATTATTGAAAGCAAATAAGTCTCGGTAATAAGCGACTGCACGGTAGGTGCGCTGGCTGGGCAACCGGCTGCGGTGCAACGTGTCGCGGGTTCGATTCCAGCACGGAACAACACTGCGTGTGATCCACGAATTGTTGTTTCGGGTCTGGGTGTCATGTGTATGTGAACTTGTATGTTTGTAAACGCACCCACGACACAGGAGAAAATCCTAGTGTGGGGCAACGTTTATTAAAAAATGAATAGTTTATATTATTGTAAAAAATGTCCAGTTTATATACTAACCGAAGCAAGGTACTCGTCTCTGCAAGCGTCAGGCCAGTCACAGGTCCAATTGGTGGGTGGCGTGCACGGGATGACTGGCTGCGAGTAGCACGTGCAAGGGTGCTGGCTGCACGTCGGACAGCAACACTGCTGGCACATTGTGTATACCTGGGAGGTAGGGGCATGTCATATGAACTATCAGTGCTCTATAAAAACGCTACGAAGAAACTCGACCAACAAAAGTAATTGTGGAAGTCATCTTTTTACAATCCTTAATTTGTTCTGCAACCTTAATTTGAATTTTGTAATAAAATTCAAAACGAACGAATATTCAAACTTAAAAAGCGTTTTTATCATTGTTTTTGCCAAGAACGTTGAAAAAATTGCGGACACAGTCTCTTGAACCAACGTCTGTGGCACCTGGCTACTATAGACTTACACGCAGAACATAAACACATTGACACGAAGGACATCTGTCATTTTCTTAAATCTAAGGTAACGTGGTAACCGCACACACGCACACATAAAAAAAACCACTGACATTTTTGGCGCTTCAATCGTTTCTAAGTGACATTATGTCCAACTTTTATCAAATTTTTTGGTTTTTGCAAAACATAACGTATTTCTTACCAGCCAGACTGCTCGAGCGATCTCATTTTTTATGTAAGGCAAACAGTTGACCAGAAGGCAGTTCTCAAACTTAGTCAGCTCTGGTATACCCAAGTTTCTCTCCACTCCTGAAGGCCCCAGTATTACCTGGACATTAATTCTCCAATTAATAGGTACTGTCAATGGGAATAAGATTACAATTAAAATACAAGTCCTTAAACTGTCAAACACCGCGAGGAACACCGGTGACCGCAACCTATTGTTCTTTAATTGTGTCTATAATGACGGTACTCAAAGGGTTAAGTACGGCTTTGATCGTTTTTACATGGGAGCCATACTATCGTAGCTGACAAAAGGGAGTATAAAGTATTTAACTGTTCTTAAACAATTTTGTAAAACTGAAAATTTTATATTAAAACTTTCGTGAGACATGCTAATTAATTTTTATGTTTTCGGTTTCAAGTTGCTAGAGACTCATATTCATGAGCAGCTTTCCGCCACCCGCTACGCGGCGATTGTGCCGCGACCCGAATATGAGCCTCTAGCTTGGCTTGAAACTAGTCGAGTTACTCGTCAATCAGTTACGTGAGTAAACCGAAAACATAATAATCCTGTCCCGGGTATCGAACCCGAGACCTCTTGCCCGGCCGTCTATATTCTAATCTACATATCATATTGTAGTCTAGTAGGTATAATTTACATCGTTCGCAAAAAACTGGCAGTCTGGAGCGCATGTGCCAAGACTGTCGACGTAGGCGCACTGTGTAATCTTCTTTCCTTGCAACGCCTTAACTACGTTGATGGTGGTTCGCGCTATTGCGTACGAGCCGGCGAGGCAAGCGGTCGCAGTGGCGCATCCCTTCGCCGCACAAACCGCCTCGTTGCCGCTCATTATACAGGACGTTATACATTCAATCTGGAATTATAATACAGATCTTGTTTCTGACTGGAATATAAGGTGGAGGGAACCTAAAAATACTGCTAGTGGGTTTGGTTGAATAGTCTTTATACATCAAGTCGTATGTAAAAAGTGAGATATTTATTGTTTTTTTTTAAATTGACTGTGATAGCTCGGTTGTGTCATTTTCTTACTGCTTTAGTCTTATAATTTTCAACACAGAAATTGGGTCTTGAACACAATAAATGTGTTGTTAAACACATTGTATACTTACACATCTGTACATAAAATAAATAAGTGTTAAAATAAATCCTTACTCATATTATAAATCGGAAAGTGAGTTTGTTTGTTTGTATCGCTTTCACGCCGTAACTACTAAACCGATTGCTTTAAATTTCTACAGACGTAAAGTTAAAAGTCCGGATTAAATACTTAATAGGGCACTTTTTATCCCGGAAAAATGTGATATTCCCGAGGGAAAACAAAAGTATTGGTATAGATGGCGCTGTGTGTATTAGTATATGTCACATAGGCTTTCTTTTGTGACGCGAGCGAAACCGCGGGTAAAAGCTAGTAAATAAATAAAGAATCAATACCTGTTCTTGCGTCATATGACAGGGATGGACAGCGGCTGACAGCACGGGTACCATAGTGGCAGGCGAGGCGCCCCCTATAACTGGAACCCTGACGGCTTCGGGTGGAGCCTTGATATAGTCAGCCAGTACCGTGTTGGCCCTCACGCAGTTCAGCTCGACACACCCGAGGAGTGACCGAGGATTGTATATTCCACGGAGACGCTGGATTTCGCCTACTAGAGGTACCATGCTATCCACTGGTTCCGTTGCTACTACTGTAAATGCCTGATGGAGTGGTATAAATATGTTATAGCGTAAATGTGTTTTTTCTTCTTATTGTTAAGGGATAAAGCTTTAAGGGCACTGTGTTCTTTGCTTTGGAAACAATACAAAAAGGGTTTCAAAAGTGGAATTCTTTGCACGAGTCTGTATTTCCTGAAGGGTATAACCTGGGAGTCTTCAAGGCCCGAGTGAATAGGTTGCTTATAAGACGACGTGCTCCATCGTAGACCGCATTATCGCTTCCCACCAGGCGAGATAGTGGTCAAACGTCGCCCCATCAAATAAAATAAAAAAGGTTGTAAGCGCGCCGTGAAGCTGTGCCGGAGCCGTGGTTGTTAGGTGTGCGATGTTCTTAACCATCTACTCTAACACCGTAGAATACATTTTAAGTCATCAGTATTAATAAAACATCGTGAATAGAATTCGAAGGGAGAATAGATACGCGAATGGGGTGAATAGATACGGGAATTTCTTTAACCACTCTGACGTCCGTGGATAGTACGGTATCCAAGAAAAAAGTAGCGTCATACGCTCATGGATACTATAGTATCCAAAGCGACGAGTTGTGTTTAACGCCCTCTAGTTTAAAATACGGTCTTGCTTGGTGAGTTTTGACAGATTATCTATACAGTTGAATAAATAGTTCGACGAAAAAAATTGAGATGGCAGTGTAATAAGCTTTGACAAACAAAATATAGTTTTTTAATATATAAATTTCTTAATAACGATGGAGTTTCTTGCTCGTTCTTTTTCATTCGAAACTACACTTTGGAACGAGCGCCTAGCTTCACTGACAGACAGACGGACGGACTATTCAATTTTTGACGTTTCAAAAGTGCCGAATTAAGTATTAATTGAAATTAAAAAAATACTTTGACTTTAATATCTATTCACCCTTCGAATTCTATTTACACCGTTTTATTGTACGTAGCCTTCGAAATAGTGCATGATATTTTTTTATTTTACTTTACTTCTTGAAAACAACAACATTAGACTTTATAATACGTGGAAATCAAGAAATAGAAAAATGAACAATACAACAATTTGAGAAAGATATTATCTTTTTTGCATGTAATATAATTGAACACAAATTGAAATAAAATATTCTAACTAAAAATATTACATAAACATAACATAACATAACATCAAGCCTTATTCCCCTGAAGGGGTAGGCAGAAGTGCACATTATGCCACAGTACAATGTAACACACACTCTTCACTATTTATGTTATGAGTCCCATGTAATAGGGGGTGAGCCTATTGCCATATACCGGGCACAGTTCCAGACTCCGTGCTACTACTGAGAATTAAAAACCCAGATTACTGGGCAAAGTATTAACTTTGCCGGACCCGGGAATCGAGTCCGAGACCCCTTGCTCGGCAGTCGCACTTGCGACCAGTCGGCCAACGAGGCAGTCTAAAAATATTAATTTAATAAAATGACCTAATTAAACTAACCATCGGGCAAGCGTTGCATATTTGCAGAGCTATTTCAGTAATGACGGGCGCGCTCTGTTCGAAGGTGTCCATTTCGTTCCGTGCCACAAGCACCACTACCTTTGCGCCCTGAAATCACGACACATAATCACACACGTATAAAAGACTAGTATAAGCTAGCCATTAAATGTATGGAAAGGTTAAACAAAAGGAGACCATGATAAGCTGGTTTTGTATCGCTTGATTCCTTTATTCATAAACTTCGTCGCATAAAATAAACATTATATACTTTTTTATGTGTGTTAAAGTATATATACTTAGCTAAATTGAAAGAGAGCATAGGCTTTTTTACGCGGGCATAGCCGCGGGTAAATGATAGGTACTTATAAATCTGTTATTGCTGTAAAGAATGATTCTAATAATTACAATCTGCGTAATATGTCGTCATATTAATGATCTACGGTCGTAGGCGCGTACGCGCAGTGACTACGTGCGTAGCAGTGCTACAAAAAATACAATGAAAACTTCCTACGGCGGCGTAGTATTTTTGCGTAGCTGATATACGACTTTATTAATTTCCTATAATTTATAAAAGTTCTATAGGTCTTTAAATGTTAACTAGTTTTAATATTTCTACTACTACTACAACCTACCGAGTCAACTTTTACAAACCGGAATGTTCAAGATTCGAGTACAGCTAATAACTACATTAAAAATAAACTATATTAAATTGATATCTTACTTGAAGTGCATCACACAGCATATGTTTCCCGGAAAACGAACTCACTTTACACTTAGTGTCTACATGACTAAGTTCCACGGCAAACCCACAGGTGGGGCACTGGTCGTATAAAGCTATCTCGTCTATTAAAGGGCACTGCTTCAATAGTAGAGCTAAAGGTTGACCTTCAAATATCAAGAAAATATGTTAGGCACTATTTAATTATAGTTTAAGATCTGGGAGCACGTTAGTGCCCCCACCAAGTCGAGTGTGGAGTAAACAATGTCGTACCATCCATTACTGAACCCATTACGCATTTTCAGGCCCCTAATTAAGAACCTCTGGATAAGACCAGACCCTAGCAATTTTCGTCATCCAGTAAGCTACATAATCCAAAATTGTACGGTTTCACGATGTTGTCAATTTGTACATTATACAATTTCCAAATCTGGACTTCCTTCCAAGCTATTTTATTAGTTAAAGCTACTGATGACCCTAATTGTTTCGAAACTTCTTCTGAGATTAGCCATTAGCCAATCGGCAATGCTCGTTTATCTTAGTTTCAAATCGTTGATGTAAAAGTGTAATTTTGTAGTCTGTCTACAAAAATAGCGCGTACTAACCAGTGCATCCAGCAGCCCCGCAGATGGTGACCTTCATTCCAGTTGGGCAGGTACTGTACTGCCTCCTAGCATGTCTACGTCTGCCATAAACCCTATCATAACACATTCCATTGTATCCTTCCACAAAAAACCGCCGCCTACCTCCACGGCATCCTGCCAGTACGGATCTCCAAATTGGCATATTTTTTTAATAATTTTATTTGAATAAATGTTACATGAATTTATCAGTACTTGACACACATGACTTGAAATTTTATAATTTTGAAGTATGTTTTTTTCATTTTCATCCAAAGAGCATGAATCTTTGTCATCCGTCGCCTCGATTCTGTGTTTATGATTGGTTAGTAACGGACGTTAAGAAGAATCTTTTTATATTGCTAGCTATTAATGAAATTATTTGTATTTTTGTATTGTATGTGTATACACCTACCTACTGTAGTTGTCTGTTCCCTCATGAGTTAAGTTTTAAAGATTATGAGCGTGTAAATATGATTCAGTAGGTAAAAAGTAGGTATTCAATTCTTATAAAAACGTAACTTTGTGTACATTTTCTACAATTAAACCCTACCTATCTGGATATCTAGATTAATCTATGTACAATGTAACAATAGATAGAAGTAACTGCAAGGTATAGTTTAGTTACATTACCATATCTACCTACACTATTTTCAAAATAATGACACGGGTAGCCGCGGGCTTCAATTTTACGTGTAATTGTTAGTTACAGCGGTGTGGTATTCGTGTTACGGTGACACTATGTTTACGTAACAGATTGGAGATAAGACAATCGGCGAAAGGGTTTGTATCGTTGATAGACATTTAATCACTACTTTTTACATGCACACGCCTGGACTACTCCCTGAATAAATAATGTGCAAAGATACAATCAGCAAAAGAGTAGCACTCTGTATAGTAATTGTGCTTTTCAGTAACTAGTTGACAACATTCGGATTCATTCGTGTAAAAGTGCACAAACGACTACCTCCTAATACTTTTTAAACAATGTTTTCAAATGTTCAGAAGTATTTTTATGCTAACGATAACGAAAATCTAAATGTACGCCAAATATTTAAACCTATCTACATTGTGTTAACATTTTTTGGTCTCTTTCCTTATAGCATTAAGTTCAATAATAACAAACGTGGTTTAACTATAATCAAGAAGTCGATTTACATCAATTCCTTATGTTTAGTTTCGTATATACTTCTCCTGTTCACGTTCTGCGGGCTGCACATGCGGTACGTGGTCGACTCCATCGGAGACACTGTAATGACCAGAGAGGTACTCACTCAAATGAACTACAACGTCGAGATGGCTAGCTTTCTTATATTCTGCGTAACTGCATACTTCTGTGCGTTTAAAAACAGAAATATATACGTGAAAATAATTAACAAAATAGCTAACAACACAGATACTTCCAATATGGAAAGTAATTTGAAGAAGCTACGTTTTCAAACGAACATGATAATAGTCTACCTGGTGCTCGTAACTTTACTACAGATAGCTGTAAACTGGACACGAGACGATTCATTATGGAAGGCCTTACTAGTACATATGACGTTCTTAGTGCCGCAATTGATACAGTTCACGGTGTTAGCGTTCTACTACGTTCTCATCTTGATGCTGGTCGTGTTACTCAAGAATATTAGGCTCCACATAGCAAACCTATCGATGGCGAAAACAATTGTAATGGATCATTACGCGAAGTCTGAGGACAAAGTTTTGACACTCCAGTATGTGGAGTCTTTGTACGAAATAGCTTTTGAAATTAAGAGAGATATTAATAATGCATTTCAAATGCCATTTCTGTTTACCACTGTGCAATGTTTCCACACAATGGTAAGCGAGTCCCACATTATATACCATGGCTTAGTTGTGGAGAAAGACTTTTCCCGGCACAACATTGTAAATTGTTCAATTTGGGTGATTTATCAGATTTTCAAATTGTATATCATGTCTAGATCAGGACATTTGGTGAAGCACGAGGCAAGTACTGAGCTGACAATACGTGGAATTTCAATACCTAACAGTTGATAATGTCGATATCTTTTATGCTCATTTTCAGGTTAGTAAAATAGGACAGGCACTACATAGTATACCCACAGCTAAACACGATATACGCTTATTATTGGAGGTAACGTACCTTACATTATTACATAATTTAACCGCTTGAATGCACCGAAGTGAGTCACAATAGAAAATACATTGTATATCTTTCTGTTTTAATGGCATAATGGTAAGCAATCGGCATCGCCCATGGACACATGGACACCTGGAACACCAGGAGGAGACAAGTGCGTTACCGGCCTTTTGGGGATTAAGAGTTTAAGGATCGTTGGGGATTCAGGAATTGGGGAGATTGGGGAAGGGGAGGGTTATTTTGACTTAATTAATAGTCTCGTATGAATCCGTGTTTTAGGGTGCGTCCACATCTGGACAAATGATGTGGACGCATGGATGGACACATGAAAGGTTAAAATGGCCAATGATAAATATTTCTCAAATGTGTTTAAAAACCATGACTTCATTCACACGCACCCGACCTGTAACAATGATATGCAGATCATAAAGAAATAAGTTCGGGAATTATAGCTGCGACACGTTGCACAGCAGCCTCTGCTAATTTTGCAATTTAGACGAAATGTACAGTCAAAGGTCAAAAGTCCACTGCCACCGTGAGTAATGTTCACACGGTAATGCGTAAGTAATTTCATATAAATGTGCATAAAAACGAGTGCGTACGCATAAACACACACACGCGTACGCACACGGATAAAATTATGTGTGTATAAGCGCTGCAGCGCAACCGATAGTAATCTTACGTTGGCAGTGGACTTTTGACCTTTGACTGTACATGGAGTGTTAGTATACCTACCTACTTAACCTACTTGTTTGAAGATTTTAGCTTAATTAAAATTGGACATTTTTCAGATACAACATTTTTCATCCCTAATTTTATTCCACGGTGATGATATAACTGCCTATGGACTATTTTCATTGGATGCTGCTCTTCTATCTAAGGTTTGTATAGTGAAAGTTGTGATAATGTTACTAGGATGACGTAATTGCCTAGGTAATACGTACCTAATAGGATTGGTAGGAATTAAGAAATAGGATATAATATTAACGTCAAGCAACACCACCACTAATATGTAACAACACTTATACGATGTAACACCTACTTTTCACCATTTATGTTATGAGTCCCTTGTAATGGTGGGTGAGCCTATTGCTTAACTCAGTGCTACTACTAAGATTTTTTAAACAGTCATATGAATAATAATTGCTGACCCAGGAATTAATTTCAAAGCCCTTGCTTAGTAGTTGAATTTCAAACCATTCGACTATAGAGGCAGTTATTAATGTATATCAAAGTTGGCATTATTTTTATTTTATTTTTTTCTTACAGATCGTTGCTTCATCAGCTATGTATTTAACCATTGTGGTGCAGTTCGACAGGAAATGAATAAATAGCCCTGCATTCAATAATAGACATACATAGTTCCAACGGGTTTATGTTCAAACTTCTACGTTGTCACCTTTTTTACGTACGAAGATACCAAACCAATTTAGATTTTCTACTTTATTTAAAAAAAATAAAGTTCAAAATCAATTCACAAATAAAAAAATGACAGTTCAGCGTAGCTTAAACTGTCAAACATCAAGCGGTCACCGGTGACCGCGACCTATTGTTCTTTAATTGTGTCTATAAAACCGGTACTCGACGAGTTAATTGGTCTGCCTGCATAAAATCATAAAAGATACTTCGTTCACTTCGTATAGGTACCTACTACAAACTACAGGATCATTATTCTAATATATATTTAACCATGGATACTCTAAGTTCATAACATTGGCTTAAAATTGTAAACCAACTCTGTCAGCATAAGAAGTTATTGCAAAATATTCACATGAGATTAATAAGAAGCTAAGAATCGAAGTTGAAAGCGCGTTGTGATGTTTTTTATTAAATTTCCCTATTTGCACCGCCAGAGGCGCTCCTGTCGCGAGGGAACTTGTATTATATCACAACTCAACTCAATCACTCTCGAACAAAAAACGATTTATTTATGTAATGTGCAAGCACCGTACCTATTTAACGAGAACTTCAAGATGGCTAAAAGAGTATGTCATATTAAACAATCATTATTAAATATCTTTACACTAAATTTTTATTTTATTATTTACCAATAAATAAATAATTTATCCATTATTATGCATGCAAATGAAATAAATAAATTCGATATTTTTTGTAATAGCGATCTACAAATACTTACAAAAGAATATCTCGAGTGATTCATAATTTTAATGATAATTTTTGAATTTCGCGGTCTCAAGAGTCGATCACTTGAAATGACATATTTTTTTTACATTTTTATTGCAAAGTTTGTGGTCCACAACGACGCTAGTGGTGTCTAATAAGATTGCAAGATTACAAAATTATAGTTATCATCTGTTTTAAAGTTGCCAGACTAAATAATTAACCCAGAAATAGGGAATACACACCTGTTACACTGTCGAATTTTAGAATTCAATTTTAATAGTCAATTCGACATCATTGATTAACAATAATCTGATAAATTAAAACATTATGACATAATTACAAGAAAACATAATACAATTGTTTCAGAATGTTTTATTGAAACATATTTTTTACGTGGATAATATGTTACGTTTGACAAGTAGTTCAAAATTACTGTTGCATTGTGTAAATGGTATCGGATTCAACTCCTGAGCTAATTAAATATTATTGTTCTGGATTAAGCTCATCATGAGATCATCTTGGAATTTAGATTTAATAATAACATTAGTGATATAATTTTAACTCTTTAGATGAAACCTTTAGAAATTAAATTATATCACTCAAACTTTATAATTTATATAGGTATTTTGTGATTTAAAAAATATCTGAATACTTTTTATTTTAAATTATAAAAATAATTATTATGTAGATGTACCCTGTCCTGTCATGGAGGTTGCTTGCTCAGGGACAGGGAGTTATTTATTTTTACTCTGACAACCGGTGAATATAATAATTTCAATACCTACCTATTCTCGTTGAAGCAGCTTTGAGCGACTTTCCTTGGTTAGTATAATTTTCCGAAGTAAAATATATTAAAGTTACTCATAAATAAGTACCTAATCGCCCGTTCTAATATTTTCAGTGTTATCTAGTAAACAAATACTTCAGAAGAGTTCATTGACAAAATGGTAAGTTGAAAAAAGATCTCCAATACAACTTTTATTGTAATCCAGTTACAATTCGCATTTAAATTATTCTAGTTCGATATTTACTTAATGGTTTCGAGTATCGAACTGAGTTTATTATGAAAATAAGCACCGGAATCTGCCGCGCCGGATGCCGGCATGTGGTGTAGCCATTTTGAGAGCGGCGGCCGCCATGTCACAGAAGTGAATACTAGATCACGAAGTTCATAAACCCGTGAAATTTTAATTGATTTAGTGCTTTGAAATACTGTTTTGGCGATCGGTGTAATTTAGAAATATTTTTGAAGATCCAGAGTCTAGTTGTAGTGGAATTTAAAGTAATTTTGTCGTCTCGTGGGAGTGGTGATATCAATAGATTCTTGTGATAGCTATCATGTATGTTCTTAGGACTCGGGTACGTTTTCCAATAGGACAAAAGACTTCATAAATGTTTTGACTTAATCTTACAAGTTATTTGGCCACGTCACAATGCAATGTGACTTCGTAATTTGACAGCTAATAATTAGGCAACAATAATTAGATTGCTTTGCTGCACTGATTGTTTTGGAAATGGTCTAAGGCTGTATATTTTTGCTTAGATGGACGGAAATGTAGTGCATCCTCACCCGGGAGTGGTACCGGGTGGCATCCCAGGAGTGGTACATGGCATGGCGGTCCATGGTGCAGGCCCTGATGGCGAGCATGCCCCTCACGGACCGCGTCGCCGCTACCAAAACAGACCTAAGCCTCCAAGCAACTTGGAACGCTTGCCCCTGGATGAAGCTGCTAAACGGGTTAGTTCTTTTATCCATATTATAAATGTTACAGAATAGTTGTATTGTTAAAGAGGAGTAGGTAGATGTTTACTTCATTGAGGGTACTATTACGTACTTAGTAACATAACGCCCTAAAATTACTTTGATACTCAGATTGATCCACATAGTACTTCTTTGTTCTTTACACTTTTTGACATGCTTTGGGGTTCAGTGACATAAAGCTGTCAAACATGTTTGTATTTCATAAATCAGCTGTTTCACAATAGCAGGTGTAATTAGTTCACCGGATATTGGGTTTGATATTAAGATTTAAATATGATTATCACATGTCATTCCATTTAATTTTTAATTTTTTTCCTTACCACCAACCCAAGACTACCTTCATTCCTTAGTTTTCAAACTGTCAATAATGTTTTGTATTTCACAAATTGGGTGTTGTATTTCATAAATCAGCTGTTTCCAAATAATGAATTTATAAATTCTTGACTGAGGTCTATAATGAGATTGTCACATGGTAATTATTTGTATTATTCTTTAAAACAATGTGAAATAACTTTGAATGCTACAGTCTTTTTAACTCCGAAAACTTAAGTGAAGGCATTTTGAGGTAGTCAAGAAGTAGGTTAATCATATAGGTAACAATGCAATAGGACTTAGTAATTTAATTGAAAGCTAATAACTAGACTGTGATAATTACATTGCACAACTGCATTGATTGTTTAGAAAGCAAATCTGATTGTTTATTTCTGCTTTAACTCGTCGAGTACCGGTTTTATAGACACAATTAACCCATTTGGGCCCGCCGTCCCCATATGGGGACAGGTTTTCTTTTACCCGCTGGTTATTAATTATTTTAGCTATCTTCACATTTCATGGGTATTTATAATGAGGAGTAGTGTACTTTCCTAAAATTATTAGAACTTTTGACAAATTGCTACAAAAAAGGGGTCATATTGTCAATTTTATCAAGAGGAAGTGAAATGGGATTTATTATTGAAAGCAGAGGCGTTTTGTAGTACGTTATTGTGAAGATTTATAAAACTTTTTTGTGATTTTTGCTTGCTTATAGTGTCAATTAAAACAATATTGAAGAATATCCTTATACTTTCAATTCCGCTTAGGGGAAAGTTAGAAAAAATGATGGTGTCCCCGTATGGGGACAATGGGCACATCTGTAGTATATTTTTAAAACATTTATACCTGATTTGTATTTTGTTTTCCAATTTATAAAGGTCACCTATAGGCTAAACTTAGTTATAGCTAATACTTAGTGACAACAGACGCTAATTCACGAAGAGCATCACCAATTCCCACATATCTTTACGCGTTCATATTCTAAAATCTGATGGCATCAAGACCGAAGATGCAAAAGTCCACCTACAGTACCAGGCGTCGCATCCGATATCAGAATTCAGCAGTAGGGGGCATTTCCTCCAGCTGTATTCTGGTGTCGTCACAGCGAAGTCCACCCAGAGGATAGAGTAGCATTATGCCCTGTATACGTTGACCACCGCCGTGTCTTCAGGGAAGTGATCGACGACGATAATCTTCCACGTCCAGCTTAGGTTCTGGCTGTGGTGCGGAGCGAGGGGAACTGGAAAACATCTCTTTCTGCGAAGCAGTCATAGTAGCAAGAACAGATCGCCGCCCAGAACCAGACCTGTACCTGTAAGGTGCGTGGCGTTACGCGCGTGCTTCAAAGTGCAGATCAGACCTCCTTAGATCGAGATGGCTCAGTGGGACAGATGCCCGACTATTATGAATAACCTAGTGGGTCACCGGGGCTTCGGCTTGAAGCAGAATTAGGAACGTGTTGGTTTTTAGCCAGCAAGAGTCCCCCAGGCGGAAAACGCAATGCACGATTTTTACCCTCAAAAAAAATATAGGCGCGTCACATTAAATTGATTTAGACATTTTCCGCAGAGATTTAGTTAATATCTGTTACGATACGCAGTTCGTCATAAAAAAACTGTGATATCAATGCAAATAATGCGTTAGAACCTTGTGTGTCGAAAACAGTTACTACTTCGAAAAGTACTACACATGAGCCCATTGTCCCCAATCAAGGACGGCATTTTTTTTAATACTTCTAAAAATATTTTTTGAATTTTTTTTGCTGATATTAGTTTGTGGGCGTCATATCATTGAGTTAATAAAGTTTTTTTTATTAAATTATGTGTAGTTTGCATTTGGTCCCAAATGGGTTAAAGAACAATAGGTCGCGGTCACCGGTGACCGCTTGGTGTTTGACAGTTTAAAATGTATAGTTTACGTCTATAAAATATAGTTATATTTCACAGGAAATGGAATCTCTTCCATTGAAGACACCAGTATCTGTGCTTCAAGAACTACTTGCACGTCGAGGAACTGTGCCCAAGTACGAGTTGGTGCAGATTGAGGGCATGATACATGAGCCTACCTTCCGCTACCGTGTGACAGTTGCTGATCTTGTTGGTAAGGGCATGCAAATATGTACTTAACTTGATATGCATTTACGACCATGTAATAACAGATGTAATTACAGCTATGGGTACGGGGCGCTCTAAGAAGGAAGCTAAGCATTCCGCAGCTAAAGCTTTACTCGACAAACTTACTGGAGCTGCTCCTGCTGATCAGTCTACAAATGGCAACGTGCCTGAGACGTAAGTACTTTAAAGCAATTATAACATTTACCATACTAATTTATAATTTTATTATTTGTTTATAACTAAATTGCAATTATAAATGTTTACAGTGGAACTGTGGTGTCATCGTTTGAAGATAAATTGATGGGAAATCCTGTTGGATGGCTGCAAGAGCTGTGCATGTCTAGATTCTGGCCCCCACCTTCTTACCATGCTGAGAATGATGATAATGTTAATAGGCGTAAGTTGACATTTCTATTTTTATGTGTCTAAAAAAAATGTAAAAAAACATACCCTAGAATTTAATATTTTTATTGTTACTGCAGGTTTACCACATGAACGCCAATTCACCATTGTGTGCACTCTGCTGAAGCGTCGTGAAGTGGGAACTGGCAAGTCTAAGAAACTTGCTAAGCGTCAGGCTGCTTACAAGATGTGGCAAGCTCTGCAGGACAACCCACCAGAATCATTCCAACCAGAGGAAGAGGTATATTTTTGTCCCAATTTGATTGAATAAACACAAGTGCTTTGTTATATTAACTTCCAAGTGATTCTGTGCCAAAGAAATAACATGATTGTAAATAATAATTGCATTTACTAAAAATAATTGACTGTTGTATAAACTTATATTTTTTTATTAAAGATTGTTATTTTTACCTGATATATTTATTAACAGATCCCTAAAATAACATCAGCCATGTGAGTGGCTCTTTTGTATCATTCCCTGAGAGGTTTGCACTTGGCCAGGTGTTTTACTATCTTTCGGTCGGCATCTGCAGGCATGAATGGACAGAAGGGCCACTCGCGTTAAAAGTGACTATCTGATTTAATATTTCGTGTTGTGTTCTAGGGCGGAGTCGCGGCCCGTTATGCCGACTTGAAAGATAGTAAAATCTCCACTTTGACTACAAGTCACAGCCACAAGGTGTCGCAGTTTCACAAACATCTCAAACAATCTGTTGGCCCTAACCTGGCCAAGTTGCAGGTATGCTATACTTTGAATTATTATGCATGGTACTTAAACTTACGGAATGGAATGAATATTGTTTCGTGTGCACGAAATTTTTTATTATTTGATGTGTGGTGATTGTAATATTGGGGATAAGAAAAATGTTAGAGTAAAATTGGTAACAATTATTTTTTCTGCGGCAGGTAACACCCCTTAATAACAAGGACTTCAACTTTGTGCAATTCTTGCAAGAAATTGCATCTGAGCAGTCATTCGAAGTTACTTATGTGGATATTGAAGAAAAGTCCATGATTGGTCGTTGCCAGTGCCTTGTCCAGCTATCCACATTGCCAGTGGCTGTTTGCTATGGCTCAGGACTTACTAGCAAAGATGCACAGTCGTCTGCGGCCCAGAATGCTTTGGAATATCTGAAGATCATGACTAAAAAGTGAATGTCTCACTATCTTGCGACATCAACGCCACTTGCTTGGTGAACCGCATCACGCATATTAATTTTAATGAGTTATTTGAACAAATAACTTTAAGTGATGGAATCCTGGCTTTTAAGCTGGTGATTGATGTCGTTAGGTTTTGAGCCTATACTTATCTTTATCACCACTTCCCATTTGAATATGGCATTATGCCTGTGTGCCAATAGCACTTCGGGCTATGCTTTATAACTGGCATGTTTGCAGTATCTTACTTGTGATTCTTTTCACCAATTTTCTTTTTCTATTTGCTCTTTTTCCATCTTATCTTTGCATTTTTTTTCTTACTAATAATCTTTAAGTTTATTTTTAATACTTATTCTACCATCGGCAAGTGACTTTTCACTTGTACTATTACTGCCAACGTGCGAGGATAAATGGCATAGCCCGTAAATTTAAATGAAACAAAGTATGGAGTGGTTACATAACAAATACAAGCTATACTTTGCATAGAATTAGTGTAATTTTCCCAGCGTGGAAATTACTTAAAAAAATATAAAAAAAAATACAAAAAAAATATAAAATAATGAAATGTAAAAAAAAATACGTGTGGATATTTCCAGTTTAATATTCAGCATTATTTAGGCATGATTTTTGCATTCATATTAATAAAATGTATACTTATCAAACAAAAGTTGAAGTCTTAGCTTTTAATGTATATTATAATCATGGCATAGCCAGTCATATTTTTTCATTTTGTTAAACCAGATATATACTTATTTACATAAAAATTAGTTAAGTGTCGTGTGTTTAAGCAGTTATCTAACATGCTGAGCATTAAACGGAAAAAAATATTCTCAGCTAGTAATGTCTTGTTGACGAACTGCCCGACCTTTGCTTTGTACCAAGCTCCAACATTGCGGTTAACTTGAACCTAAAATGAATTGTTTTGAAACGCAAGGGTTGGAATTTGTGGATGAATCATGTGAGGCAGGTTTGCAGAGTGTTTTTATTTGAATTTGAACCAGTGATTCTAGGTTTTCTTTTGAATACAAGATGGTTAACTTTGCAGGGAAGCTGAGAACTACGTGCTAGAGTGAATTTATCACTGGAATTAGTGGTTGCGAAGTTAGGATCCCTTGCCTGTGAAAATGGGCATTATTTTAATGCAAAGTATAGAGGTTGTAACATTTCTAACTGTACAGTGTCGTCGTCGGTGCTTTGCTTTGTTTGCCAGGCAAAGACGAGGATCCTGCACGCACCCAGTTTCTTTTAAATTGAATGGTGTGAGTTCAACCTGCCCTTGTAAAACATCGCACTGTTCAAGTTAGAAAAGACTACTCGAGTAAAGGATTGGAGTTCCGTTCAACCAAGACCAACTAAATAAAATTAAAATGTCCGTATGTCGTGGCATTTAACGTAATATATTATTTTTATGTTTAGTGAGTCTTGGTTTTACATGTTCTTGTGATTAATCTCAAGATTTAAAGTAATTATAGATTATTGTCAACTTTATGACATTATCACACTTCTCACCTATTTATGTGAAACAGTTTTTTTGAAACTATAATAGACTAACTTTAATTTTTGCTATGAATTATTTCTGCGCTAATTTAAATAAATTTGATGTTGCTTATATTCAAATTTAGTGTTTTTATTGTAATCCCCTTCATCTATTTTTATAGGGTGTCTTAGACTTACAAAATATTACAATAAACTTGGAAAATATCCCTGCAAGCTAGGGTGTAAGTCGATGATTACACGAACATTAAAAAATATTGCTGAGTAAATTCTAACAGAAAGCATGCACCCCTGTAATCGAATAATTACGAAGTGTGTGATATTGCTATTAAACTTAATTAAGGCGCACAATTCTTTTGCAAGTTTTGGGCGGTTCCACTATTCATCGGCTACTGGTGCTGCAATTGACTTTCATTAAGCTTCATGATAGAAATTTCTTGTTGCGGAGATTGTACTTGTGTTTACATTTTGAGGATTTAGAGGATGCCATTACCTGCATCTATCATGATTTTCAATCCTGTGGTGCTCGAGTGGCAAACAAGATAATTATTGTAGTCAAAGAAAATCTACAAAAACGATAACATAGCGTGCGCAAACTTCCAAGTTTTTTTACATGACACGTAAACACATAATTAAAAAACACGGACCACTTGCAAAATCAATATTTATTTTTATCATTTTTTGGCTTTAAATTTATTTTTTTGACTGAATCTAAACTGTCCTAATTTGGCATGTCTCGACATAATATTTTTGTAGGAGAAATTACTGTTGTTACTACAATTTTTCCGCATCACTGTATACGATTTAACGGGACTTGTATTCAAAGACATATTAGAATTGCGATCGTCGTCTTCTTGAGACAGGACCCAAGTCTCAATTTCTTTTGAGGGAGTTAGATCAGTACCAATATTATCGTCGAATATGTTCTCATTGCATGCCTCATCATTGTTTGCAAAATCATTAAGTTGCGATGTAAGCAATTCATTTCTTCCACAAGTCGACAAATCCTCTTCAGGTGAATAAGATATATCGTCACAAAATTCTGGCGGTGGAGGAACTATCTCATGTTCATCATCAGCTACACATTGCAAAAGTTTTTTAGGATTAAACATAGACTGATCTATTTTGTACGCCTTGGGTTCTAGGTCTATTTTTGGGGATAAATATTCATTTATTGGTTCTAAATCCATTTCAATCAGAGACCCACAATGTGAAATGTCTTGGAATTGCATACTTGCGTTGTCTGTAAATTCATTTCTATTGAATTTCTCTGGTATTTTCGTGACGTCTACAAACAAATTCAGTTTTGGCGATTGTAATAATTCTTTTTGAACTTCAGTTTTATTTTCTACGATAGTATCGGGTATAGTGGCATGCAATTTGTGTAGATCAGTTATCTTAAACGGTTTTCTAGCTTTAATTTTGGGTGCACTGTTATATCCAGGTCTAGTGATGTTTGAACAACTTGGTGTTAGAGGTTTGGATAAATTTGTTCTGGAATAAACAAAATAGTCGACAGGTTGGTAAATTATTCGAAGCATCACATAATGGATTTCATAATCTTATTGTAAGAGTAAACTAACGACAAGTGGTGAAGTAGTTGTAATACCGGAATCGAACCCGCCCACTAACTTTCTCTAAAGTACCCTCAATTAACTCTACTTATTAAAAAAAGTTTCAGAACTTACGATAGTTTCTTGCTATATTTTTCTAATATATTTTGAATTTTATTTCCACCAACACAAGCATTTTCATATTCTGTTTGTCTTATATTTGCGCTTAAGTTGTCACAATTATAGTTTGCTTCTAAATGCTCTGAATTATTAGATAATGCATCATTCACTTTATCGTTTGATACATTTTTAGTACCCATTAAATTATGGTCAGGAACAGGTTCCTTTATGGTGCCTTTCACATTGCTGTTCGCATTCAGGCTACCCTCATTGGGAAGAATAGCTAAACTATCAAACGTTGAAATATGCATAGGTGGAAAGATAATATTAGATTTATGATTTCTTTCATTATTACGTGCGGATATGATCTCATCATCCTCTCGGTTAGTGTTATTTTGTTTCAGTAGTTCAATCATTTTAATATTATCATTTGAGGTTTGTTCACAGTCTGCTCTAGAATTCTGAAAAGAATCATTCTTACGGGACACTATAGCTGTTATATCTACATCCATTTTCATTTTCTTGATAACTTGCATACTATATTCTGGAGTTTGCTTGGTACAAACGTCTATCTTACTTGCAACGTAAGTGAATCTTTGAACAAATTTAGCTTTTCTTTGATCTGTTTCTATGTTTTTTGAGAAATAATTTGATGTGCTTTGAGTCTCGTTAGGCAAATTGGAGCAAGGAGGCGAGATAAACGAAGATTCAGATGGAGCACAGTCAGTCTGATCTGAAGATATGTTAGTGGCCAAATATTCTCTATTTATACCATCGGTAAGTAATGTTTTATTATTTGCTACAAGTTGATTAATATTTAGTGGAACAATTTGCCTTGAAATATGTTTTAGGGACTCGTCAAAATTATCTTCAACTCTTTCAGTGTCAATGTTGGGTTTTGATAAAACACTTCCATTTACGTCTAAACTTTTATCTATAGTGGAATTCTTTGTATTATTAATGCCAGGACATTGAACTTTCTCAGTTGTAGGGCTGATTATATTAACATCTGTTTTGTACATCGACTTCGGTTCAATCTCATCATTTTTTATAAATTGTACATCATTTTGGTTCATTTCATTACAATTATTTACTTCTGTATCATTCTTACTTTCTATAACTTGCATGTAATTATCTTTTACTTCGTAATGTTCATCGTTAGTCTTATCAGTCTTATAGTTTTCATCATCTAACACTATGATGTTTTTATCACTAAAATCCGTTAATTGTTTCATGTTTGTATTATAGTTAGGGAGTTCTCTTTCTCTTTCAGGTTTTGCATTTTCGATCGTTTCACAATCATTAACATCTATATAACATTCAATGTTGTTTGCTTTTTGAACTTCCCTGTTTTGTATAGTATCACTTTGGCCTAATATTTCTTTACTCTCGTATTTAGGGCATGGTTCACGTACAGGATTTGTTAATTCTTCAAGTAGAAGAGTTCGATTCATTTCTCCATCATCCGGTAATTCGTTTTGTGGATCATCTAATATTGTTAAAATCTCCAAATTTTTATCAGGAATTGTAGTTTTTGTTTTAGTCAAGTATTTTTGTATATGATTCTTTATAGTCTCCGAAAATCCGTTATCTTTTTGTGGAACTTCTATTACGTCTTCATTATCACTTAAACTGAGTTTCCTTTCCAATAACTCAATGAAATTGTAATTCGATTTTGTTGTTACAGGTTTACGTTTCCTAATTGCACTGGTGGAGTAATTAGTAGATTTTGTAGTAGGAAACAAGTTAGTCAAACTGTTTAGACTATGTGTTGATTTATTAAAAGCAGTATTAACGTTATCACGAAAGCGTGCTTTGCTATCGTTGGAATTTGGTTTGTCTTTATTCATTTCGTTTTCAATTTCGTTAAGAATACTGTCTATTTTTCTTTCATCGATAAACTCATCGCTATCCATTTCTTCGGAACACACATTAAGAATTGTTGTAGGATTTGGTGTATTATTCTGTCTTGTATTCCAACTGTCTTTACAATTCGAATTACTTGGTTCTGAGTGCCCAAGTGTGATATTATTTGTGCTTTCTTTATTTGTGTTCATTTGGTGATTGACTCTTTGATTTACATTTTTCGACGCAGTTTCAAACGACTGTTTGAGATATTTAAAACTCTCAATCATAGCACTATCACGTTTCTTCTTTTCTTTAGACTTTTCTATGGCATCAGTATTTTTCCTTTTACGTTCTTTAAATGTATCAGTTATGCATGTTTGGCGCTCATTAACTTTTTTATTAGACACTGGATTCTTTTGAATACTGTTCTTTTGTGTGTTTGGTCCTCCCAGAAATGGTTCTAAATCGTTGAACAAATATTCTGCCTGGGCATCGATGCCCACTGAAACAAAGTAAACAGAATTCGAAATAATTTCACCCATTCAATAGTTAAATATCCAGTTATAAGGATAAATAGTAGCAGTAAAATTAATACTCACCAAAAGAAGAGCTAACGCAATGAGCAAATATTTTGTGTTCAAAATTGTGTTTGCGTCTTATTTCATGACTAATGGTGCCATCGAAAACGCTTATTAAATCTTTGTCCCTGCAAAAATACAATGAAAAAATGTCTGTGGTCGTAATCAACACGAAAAACTAATTTTATACATAAATATGAAAAAGATCTGTGTCGTCTTACTTAAAAGCAGCCAACAGCAACAGATGGTTATTAGAATCCCCCACAATGATGTAACTTTTGTGTCTTTCTCCGGCTGTCAAATTATCCATGTTTTCAGCTAAGTAAGCTTGGTTGATAAGCAAGAGCTGTAGGGTAACGGTCTTCTCGTCTACTGGTATCATTGTCAGTTGGTACTTTGGAAGTAGACTAATTTGTTTGCGAAGAACATTGCCAGCTGGGGCTCCTTTATTCATTATCTGTCGGAAACACGAAGATGTATAACACCATATCATTATCATTTAGTTATAGTTACTTATATATAGTCTAAGGTTTTCTCACCCGTTCCAAGTCCCGTGGATGGCTTTCTTCTAACAGAATGAAATTGACTTTACCAGCTGTTGCGAGTAACGTACTGAAAGTCGGTCCAATGCCCTTTAGCTGTTTGCTCACATATGGCGAGTTTTCCCAAAGATGTGCTGATATACACTTCGCGAGTAGTATCGAGTTTAGAACAGCTGAGAAGAACATAGGCTGCTGAGATACTAGGTCTGGGCGTGTCACGTATGTTACTAGACCTAAAGAAAAGAAAAAACGAGTGAACCACCGAACATTAATGTAACAGATGGTTGATGCTACTCATGTAATACCTAAAATTAAGGTACTGCGGATACTAGCTTACAGAGGGTTGCATACGAGATTATTTTACGTTTAACGAGATCAAAATATTACCCCGTTAGACGCTCTGATTGGCCTGCTCCAATAAACCAACCAATCAGAGGGCCAAATGCTTGGTTGGTTAGCTCGTAGATAACTGTGGGTAATTTAATTTATTGTAGATTTTTGTTAATAGATTCTGAAGCCGTGAGATCGCATTTATCTGCAATAAATTATTCTGCTCCTTTAACCTTCTACTGACTGATGATAATAAGAAGGTACCTACTAAAGACCTCCTGAACTTGATACCTATGTGTGCAAGTACCTAAATGAATATAGTAGATTAAATCCTTACATTTGCAAACTCTATCAGCAGTTCTCATAATTTTCATAGCCTCTTGATTGAGAGACGGATCGGGAATCGGTAGACAACCGAGGACGGCTTGAATGATGCTGTTAATAATAAATAATAATAATAATAATAATAACCTTTATTGTACACCTTAAATAAATGGAATATACATTAGCGTTATAATAAAAAAAAATAGTAGGGTACAAAGGCGGCCTTATCACTAATAGCGATCTCTACCAGGCAACCTTTGGGTGAATGGAGCATTGTTCGATGAAAGTGGAGGTTGTTCTTGGTGTACTCAGGTACTTATAAATTATATGTACAAGTAAAATATATATTCTCTATAATATTTTATTTCCGTCAATAAATTCATAGTAAAATATTTACGTGGGACGACATCCTTATGTATGTCATTATTGCAATGCATCTTCAATGTTGCAAAAGATTTTAATATCGTCCTTGTCAACCGAATAGCATAGATTAGGTACCTATAGTTATGATTTTGCCTTCAGGCATTTTCTATGAATAATACAAATAAATGTTTTAATGTTTTCAAGTGAATCATGAATTTTTAACTTCATTGTGTCATTGCAAATTATGTATATCTTTATGTGCATGCAATAAAATGAAATCAATCAATAATTTGTAAGACTGCATAGGGTGCGCCACTGTCGTTTTGTGGTTATTTGTGTTGATTAGGTTATTACTTTTATCATTGGTCTTTTATTTCAAACCAATAAAATAATGTTTAATGTAGCTTTATAATTTAAGCATTTAGGTATTTTTGACATTACCTACATTCTATTTAAGAGCGCTACTAAAATAAAATAGGGTCGAGAGCCCCTTGAACAGATTCTCGACTTTATTTGCAAAACGACACTGTTGGAAATAGCTCGAAGACGACAATTTGGAAGAAATTATGCACCTGCAGGTAAAAGTATTATTTTTAAAACACTTACCAATTTAGTTTCATTTGTCGTGTGCTGATTTTGCCTTTCATAGGAAATCTAATAGTAGCTGCTGCTTGGTTCCTATTCAGAAGGTTCAAACATCTTCGTTCGTCTACTCGAAGGTGCATGTCTGCTAATTCGTGGCTCTCACAAATTAATGCCAGGAGACGCTCTAAGGTTTCTAAACCTTCGACCTGGTAAAAGGATCAATCTATTAGTAACTTTCGCGTCCTGCACCCATGGTTACATGATCTATGGCCCAACCCCAGTCAACTACTACACTTGAATCGGATCAAAATTCAAAAGATGTAGAAAAAGTTTGAGGTTTACAATTAAAGCTAAGATCAATTTTAAAGCCAAAATACTTATTTTATTTACGCTAACCATGGCTAAGGCCAGATCCAAGCAGCATTATTAATTCCACTGCTATTAGCCATACAAGATCTTGACTTTTCCGCACGTTTTTTAGTCGTCCACTAAACCTAAGTTAGTTAGCCTTTAACAAAAAGTACTCATCACATTACAGGTACTACTTCATTATTCTTCAATTAAGCTCAAGAACTCATTTCGACCTTTACAAAAAGGTCAATAATTAAACTTACACATGATGGCACTTCCAGTACGGTACTGAACTTTACAGAATGCAGATACCTAGATAATAATTTTGTGTATGTTTACCCTAACAAGGTACAATTACTGTGGGTTCTGGCCAACATGATTTGATTGAAAATCAATGGAGACCTCAAATTAAAGTTTAATGGTTATGTAGATACAAATAGTAAAAATATTATAAAGTACGTACCTAATAAGGTAGGTGGATACCGACCTAGACTAAAATGAAAAAAAAATTATAGATAAAATTATAGAAATAAAGGCTTCGTTTCATTTTCCAGTAAGAATTTTGCGACAAATAGGTATTATCATTTCTGAAACTTTCTGTAATCAAATCAACATGTTTATCTACGTCAGTCTTACCTTCATAATAAGCTTCATAGTTTCCAAGTCCAAATAAAATATGGACATAAGTCGTCCAGCCTCAGTGGACTCGATACAGCTAGCTTCATCCATTGTAATAAGTCCTGAGGAAGCCAAACTGTTCATTGCTTTAACACATAGTTCTGTGGACAAAAAGCATGATATTTAACAAAGGATTTCGATCAATTGTGCTGATAGCATTGTGTTTAAAAGGCATAGGTAATGACAATATGTCGTGTATCGACGACGTAATAATAGTTAGGTAACCTATTTCGACTGTTTCCCCGGGAAGGGTAGACGCGAATGAGCTTACATTTCACTCGTTATTTAGGTTAGTTAGATAGCAATTCTTATAAATAATTATATATTTGATAGTAAAGAAACCGACCGTTATTTTTAAATGAATGACCACGAATGCATGTGGGAAGAATAGAGTCCGTGTCCAGGTACATAAATCCTTTATATAAGCACACCTAAATCAGCAGGTGTCTCCCAGAAATTAAACCTGGCAAAAATGTAGACTAGCAACAGTAATCGGACAAAGACTACGACCAGATTTAAATAGAAGGTAGGTCCTATCTAACTACTTAATTAAGCAGAGACGAGATCAAATCGTTACTCATGTTCTGAGTAAAAAAATCAATTGCCGTGTATGTTAGTCATAAATGATAAACGCAATTGCAATAAGGGTGCACAAATGTATATGGTGCGAAGACGCATCGCTCGCCTTTCAACTTCTCCAGATATGGGCATCATTGAATAATGACAACGTAGCTATGGCGAACAAGATATAATCAAAACAGCAATTATTATAACTAAAGTGAAGATGAATAAACATAATTGCCATTCCAATGACGTGATATTTACAAGCGTTTACTACGATTTAGCACAAACACACACACACATTAAGTGCCTTCGACGACATCAGAAATAGCTTTACGTTTAAAGGGCATTTAATAAGTAGGTAGTAAGGTACAAGCACTAGGCGAGCCCAAAGCAGTAATCGTAGTTTTTAGGAAATAATACTATAAGTCACAACACAATAGTGTTATATGTTATCCTGAATCCAAGTTCATAGATAGATAACTTCTGAACAACTAAACCAAATACGATAATTAATTTGTCGATTTACTGGATCAACCGGAAATATCTAGTAGGTACCTTAGCAAACTGCAATGTCGTAAAGAGTCGCTAATCTGATGTAAATAATAAAAACGTTATTAAAAGTATGCATAAGCCCTTCACTTAACCCAAGTGTAAGAGGATCGCGTGCATCGACAAATGCTAAGGATCAGCGCGTGTCGACGACGCTCATCCATCAATCACGATCCGGAACTGAAGCGAGGTCATTCTGGACCGGGGATAGTAAGCCTGAGTGACATGCAACGTCAACTAACTTGATGATTGATTGTAGGAAAAACTGAACAAGGATTCAAGGTCGTAAGTAAGTATAGACTTCTGACAAGGTAAAGGAATACATCACTTATCAGACACTAGCTTTTACCCGCGGCTTCGCTTGCGTCACAAAAGGATAAAAAGCCAATGTGACATATACCAATACACACAGCGCCATCTATACCAATAGTTTTGTTTTCCCTCGAGAATATCAAATTTTTCAGGGATAAAAAGTACTCTATTATTTAATCCGGACTTGTAACTTTACGTCTGCAAAATTTCAAAGCAATCGATTTAGTAGTTACGGCGTTAAAGTGGAACAAACAAACTATCAAACTCACTTTCTGATTTATAATATAAGTAAGGATTTTATTTCTAGAAGGTGTAAGTAGATACACGTCTTTAACCACCTTTCAAAATTAACTGTTATAATATCTCCATGTAGGTACTGAATACTTAGGAAGTGTTTATTGGGTATGCAAATCTTAGACCGGGTAAATAGTCATAAATAGACCGGATCTGACTTAAGACCTTGAACCCTAAACCTAAAATACAAAATCGCAGCTTGTACACCTGAAGGATAAAAAGGATTTACATTCATACGAATCTTCAGGTATTATGTCATAGATTTGTTGATAAATATTGACTTTAAATTGAAGAGATATAATTGGATAGGTATTATACAAATACTTATGTCATGGCTATCAGTTTAACAAAGGTACGTTATTAGCCGGTTGCAGCATAATCATTAGACACGGTGATGTGAAAACGAAAGATTTTGACACGCGCTTTTGGCATGGTAGGCACAATATTAAAGGTAAGGTACATACGTATAAAGATACAAATAGGACATAAAGCAAATTTTAAGCGCTTCTTAACAATTTAATATCTTTAGTATGTGTTCGATTTTGAACTTTAGGGTAATTATATCTCTTCCAGTGTTTTCCTCATTGGAGACATAAACACTTAATTATAGTACGGGTCCCAGGATTGTCACAAGTGGTATATAAACGCACTAAATAGGTAAAAATGGTAGTAGATAACCTCTTGCGGGTCATTTACTTAATAATTGACGAAAAATGATAACGGCAACAGGCGAATTTATACATTATTATATGGTATTTGCACTGTGGCTTAAAGATCCTTCCGGAAGTTAAAAGGCGTGTATGACACACTTTAACTAAGTAATAAAAAAAATGTATAAATCATACCATAAATAATAGACTAATTAATGCACGCGTGATATGACCTATCTAGTCGGTATCCACCGCAGCATCTAGCTTACTGTTGATGTAATTATAAATTGAATAAATTCTTTTTTTAAAATAAAATGTAGCAATTATATGGCAACGATGATGCCACTGGATTCTTGCCAGTTATTGTATAATCTGTTATGCATAATATTAAAAATACAGATAATACAAATAGATAACTTTATTATGAGTAGGTATTTCATTAGATATTCTATAAAAAATCTGTAATTTTATTAATAGTAAAATTAAAACTAAGTTGTATATTTTTAATTTAGTAATATTTAGTTTTAATTTTATTAATAGTTGTGATAGTACTTTATTGAAGATTTTATTTCGAATAAAGTTACGAAATATTAATTGTGGATGTTTTTGAATAAACAACTTTAATGAAGAGGCCTTTGTTATTTGTATGGTCAATGTTTTTTGTGCAATAAAATATTGTTATCTTAACAATTATATCTGTTTTTCTTTGATGGACTCTTCCGACAAAACTAATGATTTGGAACTTGTTTTATTTTAAGGTTTTAATCATATTACGTGGCGCAGTAAGTACTGGGTGTTTAATTTGCTTGTAGCTTTGTAGGCATAATTATAAACGGTAGAACTGGTATAAGTCACGGCGATCTTTAAACATTTTTTTACTAAATTAAGGATCGGATATTTGCTGTTTCTATCAAACGCATACTGAGACAAATAATATAGGTAAGCAGGCTCATTTCAGAACTCATTAAACGAAATTACGAAGCCCATAACCGTAATTAATCAAGCAAAATGTGAGTACCTATTGCAATTTTTATGTTTAGCTCAGTTTACCGTATTCGTTGACTTTTATGTGTTTCTATCATAGATATACATGTTATAATATTTGATAAATAACTATATCGAAACTATCGGATAATCCCACATAAAATTCCTATTACGACATTTAATTTAATTTTGATTAAGTTATTGGTTTCATGGTACAAACTTGGGTACGAAGTTCACCTGGCCGGCTAGGTACCTAGGTACCTATCTTTACAAAAAATATGTAAATCAAAATAACGGTATTAACAGACCGTTTTGGATTAAACAAATAAACAAATTGAGCACAGATTATAATTTTGATTAATCGATAAAATTATTAAAACGAATAAACATAATAGTTTTTGTGGCAGACGTAAAAAAGTAACAATTTAAGTACTGTGAAATTAATGGGTCGAGTAATTAATTTTAATTATTGTAATTTTATTATGAACGTTGAGATAAGATCATAAAGGTTATGCAATGGAGATAAATAACACGATTATCCTGTAACGCTGAAAGTGAACCGAGTGAGGTACCTACTTATCATTTATCAAAGGTTGACGTTAAAGTTCAGTAAGCGAATAACTTTGCGGCAAATAGACGTTATTCGACCATTTCTTCGCTTTCTATATATTGTATGAAACGCTAAAACATGGGTTTATATGAAAGTGCCTCGTTGGTCCTAAATGCGTCTACTGAACAAGAGAAACGTTGTATTATCGTTTTTATTTAAGCGTACGTCGTCGTAATATTATTATATGAGTAGACGGATCACTTGCTTGGTGGTAAGTAATCGACGCCGTCCATTACATGCGCAATATTAGAGGAGGTACAATTGCGTTGTCGCTATTAGTGATTAGATATAGGGATTTAGACATAGGAGTAGGGATGAAGAATCGCCCCTATCGCCTATATATTTTCGGTAAAATAATTCTCAATAGTACGGAGTCTGGGATGTTTGCCTGTGTATTGCAGTAGCCAGTCCAGTATATTTACGGAGCCGTGGAGAACGTTGTTACGTTCTCGAAGTGCAGGAGTAGGAACGGACTGGTTTTCAATCAGATAGAGACTGACACTTACTCTCGCCTCACCCAGGCAGGAGAAACCATTCGATGATTTTCGGTTTCGCCCTCCTTAAGAAAGCCTGTATATATGCCTCCTTTAAATTACTAGTAAATCGCGAAATGTAAGCGTTACATTGAATATTACAAAACTTACGTTTGCACTTATCGAGGAAAAAAAGGGTGGTGTTTAGAACTTGTGAACTTACCCTCAATTTTCTTGGATATTTGATGTTGAGGCGAATTTTGTGGTAATCCGAGGTACCTGGTGAAAAATGAAGCTTTATTAATATAAAAACATGACATAGAAACATCTAAATATCAAGAAATTACAGAATCATACAGGTTTTTTTTAAGGGGGGGATTCATCGAATGACTGCTCCCGTCTAGGTAAGGCGGGAGGGAGTGTCAGACTCTTACTGACTAAAAACCACCCCGTTCCTTCTCCTGCACGTTGAGCCGGGCGGAGCCCCGGTAACCCGTTAGGTTCTTCGCGACATCATACAAGTTTAGTTGTGAAATATATGTATACAACTTACTTCTTAGGATCCCTTGCAGCGCGGACATACAGAAATGTAGAACGCAGCCATTGCACACACTGGGCAACATCCCCGACAGTGCCTAAAGCCGCCTCACTGTTCAGATTCTCTGGCAAACGTTTGTGCAAAAAACTTTGCAAAGGCTCGCATCCACCCACCAGCGCTTGGTAACGAGGCTGTTGGAAGATACAATACAATAACTAACTACACTTCTGACCAAGACAATACAACGAATCCTAATAAAATATATAATAGTTCTAGGAAATTCATTAACATCTTATTAAAAAATAGAGGGTAAGTATGGGGCTAACAAGTGTAACATTAGCAATGAGTTGTTGTAATTGATACTTTTTATTAAAAGTATATCAGGCTGAAATACAGACAAAAACTCGGTTCCGGAAAGAGACAACATAAAATAATAATAACTGACATTTCAAGGATTTCGTGCAATTTTTTATTATTTACAAGCAGAATAATACAATATAAAAAATGGGGTTGTCTAAAGAAGAGAAAAAGGCCAGAAAAGAGGCAAAAAAGCAGGAAAAGATAAGGAAAGAAATTGAAGCTAAAAAGCAACTTAAGCGTGAAGAACTAAATCGCGAGATTGCTGCGCAGGCCTTAAAACGTGGAGAACTTGATAGAAGTTGGCGCGCAATGATGCTGAAAATAAAAGAACCCGTGTTTAGGCAAGACGTTGAAGTAATGTGGCATGTTTTCGAAAGGGCTTACGATAAAAAAGATCACATCATTGGTTTTACCATTAAGCTTATGAATGTTGCTGATGACCAATTCCAAAGAACAGTGGCTAGCTTTTGCGATACAATCGATAGAATGATTAATAAATTCTTAACTGACTTGGAGGACATGTCAAAAAAAAATGTTGAAACAACAAATGATCTTCTAAAAAGAGCCGAAGAAGAAGCAGCACATATAATGTCTGACCACACTGCAGCTGAAACACATTTACAACTCCTTCTGTATCATGCTCATAATATATCTGATACTCTAGCGTGGACTACAAGAGGTGAAAACATGGTAAAAGCAGATGAAGAGCGTAACAAATACTTAGATCATCGAGAAAATTTACGCTCCTTTCTTGAGAACAGTTACAATGCAGTTTGGGATGAATATAAGGCCGTGCTCAAGGCATACGTTACAGGCACTGCTGAAAATCAAAAAGCTGTACGTAAACTAAGGCGCAAGGAAAATATGATGGCTGATATAATAGCCTCTCAAGGAAAGAAAATTGCTAATAGTGATGGTATGCTTAAAAGATTACGTGTGGAATTGAACGCTTATGAGTCTGGCACCAAACAGGCTGTGTTTCGAGAACGTCGTGACAGGCATAGAGACGCTTGTTTCCGTTTAAAACATCAAATGTACAATGGAGTTGCTACAGATGTTAAACGATTAGCTTTGTTAGTTAAAGTGTCTGATGATACTGTAGAATGGTTAGAAAAAGCTTTTGAAAAAGTAGATAGAATTTTGCGTATGGCAGCGCTGTGTCGAAAGTTTGAAACACAACGGGAAAAAGTTTTGCCTTTTGGATCAGATTTGCCTCATTCACCAACCGCATCAAAATTAAACGTTCGTAGACAACAATCAGATGATTCGTTGGTTTTGAATGCTATCACAACAACAAGTGGTTTGACAAGACTCTGGCATAGAATATCCAAAGCAGAATTGACAAAAAGAGCACTATATCGTGAAAAACAGTTGTTAGAACAAGAAAACGCTCTTATTTTAAGTAAGATCCAAGAATACAAAGAGAAAAAAATGAAGATCGACCCCAAGAAATGTATTTGTACCAAACCTGATACTGAACAAAGAGTTATTTTGCAAAGATCCGAGCATCCTGTCGCAATAGATGGAGGATTAGAAGTAACAAAATTGGAACGTCATTCAAGAATGAATATTTAAAGAAGAACTACATATTTAGAAAAATATTAAAATAATTGGAATATTTATTCAACATTGTTTTCATGTTTCTGCATCACGATGCTCATTAAACTCTTCCGTTGAAGTTAACAATGACATAACATTTTGCAGTTTCACAGAGGTCCCATGTGACGTTTAGGTATTTCGTCGATCACGGCGCAAGCATCGCGCGCTTGTTGTAATGACGCAAAACCCTTGCGAGGCGCAAACGATGACACTTTGACATTACCTACTTCTTTTATTGTGGTTCATGTAGAGGTTGGTGAGCGGATTATACAGTATCGGTTTAAGTTTGACTAACGCTAAGGACTGACGACGCGATGGTCACCCGTGCCCGTCGCGGTGGCAGAATGTAGTTTCATTTTCAAAACTCAGGTTTTTGCGGTTACGCGGCCGCCGCGGTTGTGATTATTGCCCGCAAACTTGGCGGTTGATTATCGCAAGACGGGCGGTTAAACAATCAGTTGACTTCCAGATCTTCCCCTGCCATTGCGGTCGCCTGTCAACCGATCGCCGAACGCGCGGGTGCGGGACTGTACTATTGACGACACAAATTATTTATTTACGATTAAAGCTTCTGTGTATTTTAATTATAATTTATTGTAGTTTATTTTAAATTTCCTTAAATAAGTTGAATGTCTATAATGTCATTGGAATACCTGTAGGTTATTAAAATTTAAAAATAAAAAGCGACGTTGCACGTTGTTTTCTCGACTTAAAAACCTATTTCTTGTATTGGCCCCGCTTTTGTAACTAGCTGCACTTTATAAATAAACCTAACCCGACCTGACTCATCTTCAAATGCACGACTGTTATGTGACTTTAAGCGCTAACAGTTTATTCAGTTAATAAAAATATTTTAAATCTTACTATCACGCTACATACATAGTCGACCTTGCACTTCGTATGTGCTCATGGAAGTAGGTGAACTAAACGACTATTGTGATAACCACTTTCGCACGTTATTCAAAAATATTTAGGCTGTTTCACAATCGCTAGTTATTATCTATATTCATAATCTCATTATATACTAACTTCAAGGTATCTAAAAATATCTAATTATGCACCACCCACGAGTATAATAAAGTAAATTGTTACGTAGTTTGATAAAATACTATACGAATGCAAATCTTTATAGCAGTCGCATCGCGTTCGTCCCAAGTCGCATGAATAATTTAGGCACAGTCTTTATAATGCCGCTCGCTATTAAGAGAATATCAAGAACGAAATGCATAAATCTTGGGACAATAAAATTACCATTGAACATTGATTCCTATCATAATAACAACGTTACCCACATATTATTCCGCAAGAAGATATTACGTGCTAAGTTAAAATGTTTATGTTAAAATAATGAAGTAATATTACACAAAACTTTAGTAATATTACGCAAGTATTTTTGCATTAATAGATGATTTAAATTGTCATTGTTTTGTAAAGAAAATACCAGAGTTCAGGTACTTGCCTAATGTCTGAGTATCGATATTTGAAGAGCGTGTGAAAGAACACAAAGCCCACGTATGATCCACTTCCTCATCATGAGCGTTTGACAGATAGTCGCTTTCACCGAGTGATGAAGCAAGGATAACTATAAGGAAGAAGTTCTGCCCTACTTAGTGTAACGAACTATATTGTGCTTTACGCATAATGCACACGTCTATTCCCACTATTTTAACTATTCATTTTTTTTTTAACTGGATTGAAACGTTAAGTATGACTTAGAATACTACTGCCTCGTTGGCCGAGTGGTTGCAAGTGCGACTGCCGGGCAAGGAGTCTCGGGTTCGATTCCCGAGTCGGGCAAACTACTACTGGGTATTTAAAAAATTCTCAGTAGTAGCACGGAGTCCCTGCGCCCTGTGGCAATAGGTGCACCCCCTATTACATGGGACGCATAACATAAATAGTATGAAGTGGGTGTTACATATAGTACAATGGTATAATGTGCACCTCTGCCTACCCCTTCGGGGATAAAAGGCGCGATGTTATGTTATTTTATATTATGGATTATTAAGGTCCACAAATCTCAGTAAAGGAGCCAAATTATATTCCATGGTAGATAGAAGGTCTCACAATAAAACATAGGTATTCATATTATGACATCTGCCTCCTGTTACAGGTTTTGTATTTATCTATATCACGACACTTTCTATGTTACAAAGATTCAAAATAAGACGTTACGACATTTTCCGCAGTTTCCTTGTTAAAATTGAGATAACATCTACACTGTGACTAGCAGCTGCTTCTGGTTTGTGCATCATTCTGCAGTAGCACATTTTTTTAATATAATGAGGATAATTCAATTAATGTTTACGTAAGTAGTACACGGCTGAAATAGTTAATTAGTTATGAGAAAATGTATGACATGTGCTTGTTGTACGTATATATTTATTCTATTTTTGACGACCTGCAAAATTGGTACTAATTTGCATATTAGGTAAATAAATAATGAAATTTTTATGGAACAAATAAGCCGGTAAACGAGTAGACAGATCACCTAATGGTAAGTATCGGCGCCGCCCATGGACACCCGAAACACCAGAGGCGTTACAAGTGCGTTAGCGGCCTTTTGGGAATTAGGAATTACATACTCCTAATCTCCAAATGATACTTCGTAATCAACCTCTCGGGTCCACTTAGTGACTGATAGCACAATTTGAATTACGAAACAAGGACTTAAGACCGACGCAATAGAGCCTTAAAATAATTAAAATAAAGGTTCACGGTCGCTTAATTTTATATTTTAATTGGTTTATAACCGAGAAGGCAGACACAAAAGTCATCACATTATGAAATAATTACCGGTACAATGCCGAGAAAAGGTAGAAACACATGTGTTACGAAAATATGAAGTTTGTGAAGTTTGATCACGCGATAAAATTAAGCTCATCGATGGTCCGGTATACGGGGAGATGTTGTTAGTGTATGTTAAGCGCGCAATGTATGGGATTGTGCGTAAAGCCATGTCATCGTGTGTGAATCAATGTATACATCGGTGATATTTAGTCACGGTTATCGACGCACTATCAGAGGCAAGATCCGTACGTTTGGAGAGACATCCATCATGATAGGGCGACATTGCGGCATCTTCGCTAAGTCGGGGAGCCGTGGGGTGCGTATATAAGACGCGGACGAGGCCGGGGCGCGCCACCAGTCAGCTTTGCACGCTAAACAACGATCATTGTCATCGGTAGCGATTGTTACAAGTTGTGTGCAGTGTCGTGCTATTTGTGTGTACGTTTCTTCTAAGGTGAGTCTCAAAGATGATGAAGAGATGGCAAACTTAAGCGTAGAGTACTTTAATTAAAAAAAAACGGTATTTATATTACAATGGGGAATCCTTAGTTTATTAATTGCATACAGGGGACTAATGGAGCTGTAATAAATAATGATAAAATAGAGTTTGAAATTAAACATATTCAGGAAGATACCAGACTTGTTTCTAAAACTAGTAGGTCATTCTAATTTGAATTAATATATTAATATATTTTAACTTGAATAGAACTATAAAAACAATGTTATTTAGGTAACAATAGAAATATTTATCTAAACATCTTGAATTGTGATTTAGTATGTAGGTGTGTAATGTACCTTTTATGATATTTATAGAAAAAAAAAACTATATTGAGTGTTCAAAATAAAAATAATCGGAACATGTAAATTATTTCCTTACTAGTTACTCATCACTCGATTACAATTATTCATTAACTTCTGAATACTGAATTAAAATATCACTATCTACATGGTTAATTAATATATTTACCTACTACTTATTTCAATATTTACAGTAGGTACCTACACACGCTTGCCTTTAAAATGATTCATTCATCACTTCTTCATCGAGACAGTCATTCAACTTCATGTCGATTATCTTAAAACGTTATCAGTTGCATACTGACATGAAAATCAATTGTTCTTTAAAAAAAAAACGTGTGAATTTATTACAATATTGATTTACTGCATACTATTATCATTGGTAACTAAGCGAGTGACTGCGAAAATGCAATGTCGTCACCTTTGCCATTTCTTCCGAACTAAGAGGCTGGAGGGCTCTTGTATTTCCCACGATAGAACTGGAGCATAAAGTGCGTGAAACGTAAAAAATATGACAGCTCATGTTGACAATTAATAGTTTCGGATTATATATCAATCATGTACCTACTTAAAACGTATGTAGATCTCGAAATACGAATATATTTAACCCCTTCAATTTATTGCTTCTTACCCCTCTAAAGGGTGTCGCGGAGAACCTAACGGGTAACCGGGGCTCCGGCTCGACATGCAGGAGAAGGAACGGGGTGGTTTTTAGTTAGTAAGAGTCTGAGTCTGACACTCCTTCCCGCCTCCCCCAGGCGGGAGCAGTCATTCGATGATTTTCCCCTCTTAAAAAAACCCTCTAAAGTGTGATAAAACCCTCTAACCAGATTATCGCCGCCCAATGTGTCGCAGGTTCGATTCTCGCATGGAACAACTCTTTGTGTGATCCACAGATTGTTGTTCCGGGTCCGAGTGTCATGTGTATGTGAACTTGTATGTTTGTAAACGCATCCACGATACAGAAGAAAACCCTATATATAGTGAGGCAAAGTTTTATTATAAAAAAAAATTGGGACTGTTAGTTAACTGTTCAAATCTTACATCTTCCGTTGACGATCTACATAACTAAATATTTAAAACTTACCCATAGTAAAACTAGTGTCTACCTAAGATTCGGGACATGTCGTACGACTTTACCACATTGCCACAAATAATAATTTTGACATAACATAACATCACGCCTTTTAGTCCCGAAGGGGTAGACAGAGGTGCACATCATACCATTGTACTATGTAACACCCACTTTTCACTATTTATGTTATGAGTCCCATGTAATAGGGGTACAGGGCGCAATTCCAGACTCCGTGCTACTACTGAGTATTTTTAAATACCCAGTAGTACTTTGCCCGACCCGGGAATCGAACCCGAGAACCCTTGCCCGGCAG